AAAAAATCTACAAAATGCACAAATATATACATATTTTTAGGTCCTTATAGTTGCATTTATAAGCACATGGGGAAAATATTCAGCCCTGACATCCTATAAAGGGTAGACCACCAAAATTTACAAAGTTCTTACATAATCCAACAAAGAAATTGACCCAGTGTAAAAATGGGCAGAGGACTTCAGCAGACATTACTTTTACAAGCATTCACGTGGGTGACACACACATGAAAAAAATGTCAACATCAACTCTAAGGGAAATGCAAATGGAAAGCTGATTTACTACCAGGCCCTCTTGAGAACGGCCCTTTAGGAAAAAGAAAATAAGGACACTGAGGAGGTGGCAGGGGATGCAAGCTGGCAGCGGTGGAAAACGGGATGGAGATTTCTCAAGAAGATAAAAATGGCATTTCCATTTGACCCAGCAATAGTGCTATTAGATACCCAAGTACCAAAAAAAGCCAGAGGAAAAGATTTATCCATGCCCACACACACAACAGCAGTATTTACAACTGACAAATCCTGGCACCAACCCAGGTGCTAACTGTGGAGCAACTAATCACTGGAATATCACACAGCTGTGAAGAAAGACGAACCAGCAAAATGGATGGACCCTGAAGTGATTATGTTGAGTGAAATCAGCTGAAAAATGAAAAGGTTCTCATTTGCAGAATACTTAAAAAAACAATTACATGGAAATGGTAAAAGAAATAAGTCTGAGTGGGGAAGAAAAAGAAGACAATGGTTACCAGAGGGACAGGACAAAGGGTGGAGAGAGTCAGGGAGAGAGGAGATGGGGTGTGGGTGTGGGGGGAACCTAGTACTTCATATTATGAAACAATAATAAATGCATCAATTTCATTAATGTTGACCTCTAAACATATGGGAGATTTTGGACCACAGCTTCTCCGAAAAAGTAAATGTACATACGGGGGGAAATAGGTAGGAAATGTATTACTTGCAGATGGAAAGAGAAAACTGCCTGCAAATGGCAGACTGAATCTCACATCTTAATGATCCGCCTTTGTGGTCACGGTGAATTGAGGAGATGAGTCATTTTCTCTTTTCCATCTTTGATTGTCTCAGCATCTGAACTCACCGAGCCATGTTCGAGCCCAGGAAGATGGGCTAAGGCAGGAGGCCAGCAAGGGGCAGTGGAGACCCGCCGCCCCTCACAGGTCTATGAATGCTGCTGCGGGCTTCCAATGCCCAGGGGCCGCGGACCACGCCAGCCTTCTCCCCTATGCCGGAGTCTGCACCGTGGGGCCTCCGCCACAACCAGGCCCCCACGAGCGGGGCTCCGCCTCCTGAGGCCTATTCCCAAATGGAGGCCCAGCCCTCCAAGCAGACGCTCTTCACACCTGCACTCTGCACAAGCGGGGCTGTTCTACGCTAGGACTGCGGCTGTCTCGGGGAAAGGGGTGCTGTTGGGGTAAGAGGCCTGCGGTGCAGAGTGGCAGAGGCCCGACGGGCTGGCCAGCAGTCCCCAGATGGGATGCTCTGTCCTTCAGGGCCCCCAGCACGTAGGCGTTGCTCGAAACCACTCTCCCGCAAAAGACAACCACCAGCATCCACCGAAAACTGAGGCGGCAGCCGCAAGAATTGTACTGGCCCGAAAACACGCCAGCGCGGCCAGCTGCAGCCGAAGCCCAGAGACTGCGCCTGGGGGAGGGGAGGCTGCGGCCTCCGCCAGGTGGGCTGTGGGTGGGCTTCTACGGTCGCCAGGGCCTTCAGCTGCCGTTCTCTGCCACTCGTGCCACACCGGCCTGCAGCAGCCCTGGAAGCAGTGTGCACGCAGGGCCTGCAGCCAGGATGGGTAGCTGGCACTCGGGCCGGCGGCTCCCACCAGCGTGGACGAGAGCTGCTCGCCACTTTCACCCTCCCTGCAGCTGCAACCGAGGCTGAAAGCACCCGTCAACTCCCCACCGAGCCGAGGCGGAACCTGCAAACCTCTCATAGGCGTTAGGGCTGCATGTCCAGACACAGACACCCCCTCCAGGGTGTGGGTGCCCAGCACTGGGCTGGGGCATTTGTCTCCCGGCCCAGAGACCCAGCACTTCTGAGCCCAGTGACTGCTCAAAATGAAGCGGTGGCCGCGTTCTCATTCCAGGTGACCCCGCAGGCCCCCGGGCCCCCAGGCAGGCTGGCCTCCCGGGAAGCATACCCGTCACTGGTCTCAGAGGCGGCCTGACCACTGCAGACGCCATGTCCCCAGCACCTGCAGCGCCCAAGAACCCAGAACCACCCTCAGCGCCGTCCGGGAGCACGCGCTCACCCCCTGCGTCTCAGACCCTCAGGGCCGCTCCTGCTACCCACATGCTTTCCCGCGGGCGCTTTCAGCCACCCAGTCTCGCGCCCGTGCAGACTGTGACTTACCCGAGGACCAGCTTGCCAGCTCCCAGAGGCATGGCCGTGCGCTCCGTCCCGCTGAGCTCCGGCGCCAGCTGAAGGAAGCCTGTGTGGTCCTTCCGCGCAGGCGCTGTGGGTGGAGCAGGGAGCGCTTCCTGCCCAGGTGGTCCCACTCAGTGCAAGCTGACTCTGCGAGCTCCTCGGGCAGTTCCCAACGGCCAGCCCACTCCCCACAGGCGGGAACGCCCCCGCCTGAAGTGCAAAGCGGGCCAAGGCAGGAGGTGGCGTGACTGTCAGCACATGACCCCCGCCATCTCGCCTGGTCCCCAACTATGCAGCATTTGCCCACCCACTGGGCAAAGCCAGAAGACAAGAAGAGCCCAAGGCTCCGGGCCAGGCGGGGAGCTGAGCTTGTCCGGCAGCCCGGCCCACTCGCTCCGAGGCCCAGCGTTTCCTCATTTCCACTGATGAGCACAGCAGCACCACCGGCAGCTGCAGAGAGGGCGCTGGCATTTCTTTGATTTCTTTTTAACACATACAAGAACTGGGGTACAGGCCAGAGGTGTGGGGAGTGAGAGGATTCACCAGAGACAGAGCGGGGAGGAGAGCAGGCAGATGGATTGAAGGGAGCAGCAGGAGACAGTGGCTCACCCCCAGGCCGGGGATGGTACTCGTGCTGTGGCTGCGGGCAGCTTCCTAGTGCTGCGCTTTAACACTTGGCGCCACCAGGGAGGGCCCAGGGATGGCACTTTCTGCCCCTCGGAGTACAACTTGGCTCTGCCAGAGACCAACTTCCAACCTAGAACCGGCACGGCCGCAAGGGCTGGAAGGGCAGCGGTGCTTGCTGCCACGGCACGTGGGGGCTGCCGTCACCAGCACCGAGGCGCGATGCAGCACCAGCCCCGGCGAATCAGCCACACCTGCCCCTGCTGGTCGCCGTGCTACTTCCACTGAAATGTTACGGGGCCTAGAATTCAAGCTGGAAGGATCTTTGCAGGGTGTGAGGCGCGAACTCCCCAACAAGACAGGTGAAACCTCATCCGCCCGGGGTGCTGCCTCAGCCTGAGGTCGGCGCCCACGGAACGTCTGCAGTGGACACGTGCTCGGTAAACGTTCTGCAGGAGCCAGGGTGACGCCGCCTGCTACCAGCACATTCTTCACCCCAGCTGCTAGCTGCACTTCAGCCGGCAGCACCACACCTGTCCTCCAACGAAAGGCAGCGCAGCAAGCCAACCACCCCCCTAGGTTCCGTTAGTAACAATGACTCTGGTAAACGCAAAAGGCCAGTGTTGACTTCGCAGACTGCTCCGTGGGCACTGAAGAGAAGCCGGGCTGCTCAACGTAATCGGAGAGCTGGAGGGGGCGAGTCACTGCGGCAAGCCTGTGTTGGCCGTCGGCGGCGTGGTTTTCTTTTGCACCTCAGAATCTGTGCTTCTATCACAGCAATACAACGATCTCCACCAGGTGGGGAGTCAGGCTCCTGTGGCTTCAAATCTGGTAGCCCCTTCTGAAAAGGCCCTGCTGGTGTCTAGGAGAGCTGGGCGCTGAGAAGCCACATCCAGGAGGCGGGGCTGCCCTCTGGACCTGTTCTTCCCGGGAAGCGTGGCCGTTCTGAGGCCTGTTCACCAGGATGCAGACACGGGTCCAGGCCCACGGGTAAGAGGGTGTTCCAAGCGCCCTCGTGGTCCCAGTGATAGGTAGGAAAGAAGGTGCAGCTGTCAGCACTGACACTTTCTGGTGGGCTCAACGTGCTTGAGAAGCTTCGGCCACAAGATAGCTGCGGCCTGAACCCACAGAATCCTGAGAGCCCCATGGCGACGTGGCTGAGTCCTCCCCCTTTGCTGCCATCTGTGCCCAAGGAAGACCCATGCCGTGTCCGAGATGAAGGCCTCTCCTCTGGTCAGAATGGAATGGACGAGCGGCCGTGGACCCCAGAGCCCAGGCCAGAGGTCAAGAGCTAGCTTGAGTGAGCAAGAAGCCCTCAGACCGTGAGGGTGACCTTCAGAAGGGGCCCCGGGGCCTCACAGGGCCTCTCCTTCATTACACTGTTTTATAAGGCTGTCTACAAGTTCCCGAAGCAGGCAATACCTATGCTAGAAATACGCACACACTACCGTGCTGGAGTCAGGCAAGCAAACAACAGTCATCACAATAAAAGTCTCAATCATGAATAGAGGGGGCGAATATCAACATCCCAGGGTGACCCAGAACCCCAAACAAGAACGCCTATCTTGAAGACAGTCCTGTTTAAAGGCTGGAGCTGACATTTTCAAATTTGATATCTATAGTTAATCTTATCATCAAAACCCAGCTCTACTCCCGCTCTGCTACAGAATTCCTGGCGACTGTGGCTCATCCCTTCAGCTGTTCCTGTGGTTGCTGGATCGCGGGGTTTCTGATGTCTTTCCAGCTTAGAATTCTATCTGGGGAGATAACTTTTCTCAAGCCAATGATTAAAAGAAGTTTACATTACACTACTTCTCTTTGTGGGCAAAGAAGAAACAGATGTTCCATAAAAGCTGTTTTCTGTGCCCTCGTCCTGCTTTCCTGAAATGGGGGAGTGGCTGGGCCATGACATCCACGCGCTGGCCTGCCAGGCCACAGGTCATGCCCACTGCTGAGGGGACCAGGGCGACCTGCTCCCCTGGCAGCATCTGAGCACACGATGATTTTGAACTATGCATTTGTTTATTTCAATTCAAATTTTCACAGATTGAAAGATTGCATGATATCAGAGTCAATTTTCGTAGGCAGTTCACAGCAAAGATTTCTTATGAAAAAGAGACAGACAGGGATCATTCGGTCTGCAGACGCAAGCGTGTCCTGCACACCAGGCCCACGCGACTCTGCCCGAGCAGCAGGTGTCCTGAGCAGCAGGCGTGGGACACCCCCTCAGCGAGGCCTGATGCTGCAGGAGCTGCAGGAGAGGGCTCCCGTGGGCAGAGGTAGGTGAGTGGACGCTGTGGCACAAGGGCTGGGCTTGCTACCTGAAGAGGGGTGTTCCCCTCACCAGGGAGTGAGGCCTAGCCATTCTTATGCAAATGACTCGGCTCAAGTTTGCTCCAAGGCACCCAGGGTGTAAAGGCTTTTTAGAAAAATACACAGAAACAAGTAGACTTAAAAAAGGGAGTTAGTTCTCAAAGGAGGTGCCTGCTACTGCTGTCCCTAGTCTAGCTAATTCCCATGGATCACAAAGCAGGTGAAGGGCAGCAGCGTGAGCTCGGGCACCCGGCACGGCATGCGGGGCTGCTGGCCCTGCCGGCAGGCTCTGCCCGGCCCGCTGCCATGTCACTTGTACTTGTAGTAGCCTTCTCCAGTCTTCTTGCCCAGCTTCTTCTCTGCTACCAGCTTGTTCAAGGACGAGCTGGGCTGAAACAAGGGGTTCTTGGAGTCCATCTCATGCCAGCCTGTGGAGAGGAGGGAGGGCGCTAAGTGGAGCAGCGCTGGCTGCGCTGTGAGGCCAGCCAAGCCCAGGCGCGTCTGGGACGGAGCATGGGGAGGAGAGGCCTTCAGAGTGGCCACAAGCGGGGGCAGCCGCCGTGGCTCCAGCACCCTGCTGTCCACCAAGCCCTTCCTGGGAATTGCTGTCACCGAGGCTCAAGGGCACAACCGGAAGCCGTTCGCCGGCCAGTGGACCCCTCAGCAGCACAGGGACCGACTAGCCGAAGAGTGAAAATTCTGACTGCCTGCACAGGGGCTGCCTCCTTCAACCGGAACCCTCCCTGCGCCTTCCAGATACAAGAGCAGTCCTTCCGGACCGTTAGGGACCCTCCACATGCAGCCCAGGCAGGCCGGTCTGGCAATGACTCTTACTCCATCTCTGGAAGCACTGCCGCCAGATGGAAGCCATCTTTGTTAATGGCAATGTGTCCCGGCCACGGGGGGCGTCACACAGACCACAGCGCACCCACGTGAATTTGCTGACTCTGACACTGGGCGGGGCTATGTTCCAGGAACCATCCCGCATGCAGAGGGCAAGGACGTCCCTTGCTGTGTTTGCTGTTTCCTGTGGCTCTAATTACTTCAACATGAAAAGCTAAATAAAAACTACCCTTGAGGAGACAAGAGACAGTCACATGTCCCCTTCTGTGCAGCTTTCACTGGTGGGGGAGGAGTCGGCGCATCCTCCTCAGGCCCCTTACAATTTCTGCTTACAAACCTTACACTTGATGAGCGAGAGACGACCTCATCTCCACTAAGGACAGAAAAGAGAGCACGCCAATCCTACCGTCCACGATGAACTTGGTGGTGTCCAGTCCCACGTAGTCAGCAAGTTCAAAGGGGCCCATCGGGTACCCGGCTCCCAGCTTCATGGCGACGTCAATATCCTCCTTGGACGCGTCACCTAAGGAGAAGGGGCAGCCTGAGTCACCACCGAGTTTCCTACATTCTGCTTGTCATGCAGCCAGTCCCAGATTTCCTGGATTTTCGCGTGTTGCACGACCAGAGAACATCTGCAGCCGGAGGTACTTCCAGTGTGGGTGAGCTCGCTCCTGACAGCGACAGGGTGCCTGACAGACACATGCTGTCCCAAGCTGTCCCGCCAAGCTACTCTGTGGATTGAGTCCTGCCCCTTCCGGAAACCCCAAGACACCGTAGCAGGCTGGGGCTTCCCGAGGGCAGGAGGCTACGAGAACAGAGCATGAAACTACAGCTTGCTTTTTATTAAACGTGGGGTGGGCTTTTAATAAAAGAACAAAGCCATACGACTTTGTATATGCTGCAGGTATTACACGTGCGTTCTTCCTTTCTGGCTGTCGGGATTTTATGAGCAGTCCCAGCAAATCACATCCACGTATACCTTTTAGACCAGATGTGTAAAGAAAAGCCAAACCCTAATTTCAGAGCTGTAGTGTGAACTGAAGTGTCTTGAGTAGATGGAGACAAGAGCCACTGTTTGTTTTCCTTGGAATCTTACCCTTAACACATTGTCCCTGGCCCAGGAGAGGTCTTTATGGAGAACAACCTGTCCCTGCTCCCGGAACAGACACTGTAACAAGGGGCTATCTATGTAGAAACTTGTTCTAAAATGTAAAGAAAAGTCCCCTTTTACAAAGCTGAGTGAAAGGAGAACACATTCAGGTACTGAGAGGATTTCCCACATGAACATTCAGATTGCAGGCAGGGTAACAGGGCTGCATTTTTAAGAAGCACACGAGGTCCAAAGTGATGCCAAAGGCCTTAAAGGCAATTCAGGCACTAAACCCAGACTGGCTTTCAGACGACATCACTGCTTCTCCAACGACTCACCCACAAGACCTGGCAGCACTTCTAGGCAGTAGGAAACCAAAGAGCAAAAAGACCTAGGCCCGGGCTCCCAGGCAGCCTCTCGTTTCCACTCTGATGTCCCACACACTCGAGGCCCGGCAGGGCCAGGGAGAGCCGGCAACAGCATGAGCACCGCGGGACAAAAGGGCACCCACACAGCCAGCGCGGCAGGCCCAGGAAGACCCATCTCTGCTCGGACAGGACAAGGGGCCCCATTCACGAACCCACCAGCCCTCTTCAGGCCCAGAGGACGGAGCCCCACGATTGCCAGGGAGGCTAGTCCCGAATTCTGAGGGGCAGCAGGAACGAGAAGGAACAGGTATCCTATCTGGGGTGTGGCCTCGCAGGTGATGGCCAGAGTCCAGGGATGCCAGGCCTCTCTAGCTGGGGCGGCCTCACCGGGATGGCCTCCTCTCAGAGCCTGGCACATGCTGTGCTCAGACAGACCGCCTCAGCCTCAAGGTCAGGACCCCGTCTGCTCATAGCCTCACGTATCCATGGGTTCCTCTGCCACGGGCCGTGTCCGCAGGTGAGAACAGGCAGGCACCTCACAGCACCACGGCGCCTGACCTGGCCGCTCCCTGCTCGCCAGCACTCTCCCCTCTGTCAGCACACCTGAGCCCCGCACTGCACCGGCTCTCTCTGGAGATGGCCACAGACACCACCAGCAGGGGAAGGAATGGGCACCTGGCTCCGCACCACATGCCAGAGCAGCGTGCAGTGGCCCGGTTCAGCTCTGCGCAGGCCCGAGGGGGGACAGGGGAAGACGCGGCTGCTCATGAGGGCGGCCGCCACGGGGACCCACGAGCCCAGCGAGGGACCAGGTGCGGGCGAAGCGCAGAGCACCTTTCGGCTCAGAATCAGATGCAGTGCACGTGGGCAACAGAGCCCAGTGGCCGATTCAGGCAAGAGTGACACCACGTGCCCTACTGCGAAACACCACTCTAACAAACCCGTCTTTCAAGGCCTGGGGACGCCTCCCCTTCCTGGGCGGTGTAATGAGGCATATTTGATGACAGGTAAACACAGAAGTGCCGTTGGCTCTTGTAGCAATAGAAAGGCAAATGCTTCCCTAAACCACAGAGAAGTTTTAGTATTCAAGGCAGACTGTGAGGAGGCCAATGCGCTCCCCTCTCTGGGGAGGAGTGGGGAGCAGCGCAGAGCGAGCGCTTGGGAGGAGTAACTGAAACATCAGGCCCTGCTCACCGGGTGGGTGTCGGGAAGGGGGGCGGGCAGTGAGTGTGGAGGGGCCCCCACACTGACCTCAGACAGGGGCCTGGAAGGCAGACCCACGTTTCAAGACCCACGGTCACCTTGCAAGCTCCATAGCAGGAAAAACCACTTTGTTGACCAATAAGTGTCGACAACATTCTAGACCATTCTTAAGGTGTAAAACACAGCATCTCAGTGTCACCCGGGAAGGCCTCACCGGTACGAGGAACGTCCTGCCCACAGGTAACACTTTAAAGATTCCTTAGCCCATGACGTTTCCATTACTGCTATTGTAATGAGCCCAGGATATAAAACGGGGTGCCCATGCCATCGCTCTGCTGGCCTGTGGGAGCTGGGTCCCATGTCTGGGCCCAGAGACGTGACGGGATGCAGGGTGCATTCTCCCCACGTGTGATTGGTCCTGAGCATGGGGAAGGGAGTAGGCCGTGAGGCGCCTACCTCGCTCGTACAGCCTGATGGCCTCCATGAGGTACGGCACCAGCAGACGGTTCACAATGAACCCCGGAGTGTCCTGTTGGAGAAACACAAGAGGCAAGCCAACCTGACTGAGTTTCTGCTGTCCGCGTTCTCTCATTGGGTAATGCTACCAACTTTCATCAAGTGATGCCTTTTCAAAACCTGGTCTAGTCTTCCTGCACTGCCTCATTTCTGCGCCATATGGCGATGGTGGCTCATCCTGCAATTATAGGACTTAAAACAAAACAAAACAAAAAATCAAACTCGTGCCCTTGGGGCATGCATCCCGAACTAAAGGCAGACTAAGACATGTCATCACAGGGACAGCCTGGCCTGCGGGCAGCACAGTGGACCTTCTGGCCTCTCCTGTCCCTGCACATTCGCCAGAGAAGACTGTTCTCCTTACCCCTCCCACTTCCCTTTCAGGAACAACAGCTTCCTGGCCTCCCTGGGGCCCTTCTCATGTGCCTCAGGATTTCCTGACTTCCAAACAGGACAGATGCAGGCTGGGAACAGGAGCAGGTCCAACAGGCCAGGAGCCAGGGTCCCAGGTGGACACTGGACTAGCCTCGTGCAGACACCACCCAGATGAAGACCTCCTCATGGACTGCCTCCACCCACGTGGCTCCTCCTGGAGGGCCTAGCCTGCGATCTGGATTCCACGTCCCCATCTATTTGGAGGCTGGGGTGGGAGGGATACTGTCGAGTTATCCGAGGTGTCTATTATGGGGGTGGTAGTCATGTGACACCGCTCCACTCAGCAAGTGGGGGCCTCTCTTATCAACAGACTGACCTGCTGCAGGCCAAACGCCCACGCTAGCCCTGGGGCCCATGCCCCCGCACAGCGCAGGCAGGCGCCTCATCCGTCATGCCTGCGTCACTGACATCATCAGGGGTCGGAGGGCTGACCTCACGGGCTGTGACCCGGACGCTGGACCGCCCCTCCTATACCACCACAGGACACTCACACAAGCCCATCTTCAGTTTGCCCAAGAGTATGCTCATGAAACGGTGACGTTACGGCTAGGCCGGAAGAGCTCTTCCCTTTCAGGGAGCCCCTCCTAGAACAAAGGCACAGGCGCAGCACACGCCGCGTGGGGCCCGAGACGGAAGGGCCTCTGTGCGCGGACCCGGGTGGAAACGAGAACACCACCTCCCGCAACAGTTCGTAACACGGTAGAGTGCAGAAGTCGGCAAACACTCGCACTTACAGAATATCCCTTAGGACGACAGCGTCGGCCAGGAACAGTATCGACACCAGGATTCCCCTTTCTAAGAACATTGAACAGCGCTAAAGACGCAGGCAGCGGCTCGTAACACTGCACGGTGTAGAGAGGCACCATCCTTTGCTGCGGCCCTCTAAATTGGTGACTGTTCACCTCACCTTCTTCAAACTCCTGTTACCTCCACGGCACTTACTGTGTGCCGGGTACCAGCTAGCACTTTAGAAACAGCTACGTAAGGCAGAAGACATGGGCACAGAGCGGCTGAGTCACTTGCCCAAAGTGGCCCAGCTCGTAGAGGAGAGTCACGGGGCAGCGTTCCCGTGACAGCACTGGTGAGCGGCTGCTGCGCGGACCGCAGGCCCTGCGTGCAGCACGCACTCTGGGTGTGGCTGAAACATCTGCGTGCCAGTCGAGAGAAGACTGACCGAGGAAGGCCCCGGAAGCCCGGGGCCAGAGAGGATGCGGCAGGGCAGGCGCCCACCATCAGGCCGCCCCGCCCGCCCTGCATGTGCTGCCATCATGCTGTAGCACAGCAGCCTCTCCTGTGAGCAAGAGTCCGCACACTGGCTTGGCCCTGCGCCCCAAACATGGGTCTCTGGAACGCCACAGGGGCTGTAGCTGACACAGTCATGAACCATCATTGACCAACAGCCACGACGGTCAGGAGGCAGGGCCCAGACAGAATATGGAGAATTCTACTCTGGGCTCCATCCTGACATCAGCGGCTGCCAGGCCAGGGGCCCAGCTTGGCACTGGCTGGCTGCTAAGCACTAGGAAGGAAACCCTGCTTGCCCTCATGGCAGCCCTCACATAAGCAGGATGAGCCAGAAGCGGCCTGGGCCTGATCACCCCTCCCCAGCCCCCAGCGCTACCTTGCAAGACACAGGATGCTTTCCCAGGGCCTTGCTGAAATCTACCAGAGACTCAAACGTCTTCTTGCTGGTCATCGGGGTCTTGATGACCTGGAAATGTGAAGCAGAGCAGAGTGAGGACCGCGAGGCAGTGGTTTCAAGAGAGCAGTGCAAAGCAGCGAGAGCAGAGGGCACAGCACAGGCAGCGGGCCCTTCCAGTCAGGACAGAAGGAAGGCTCATGGCCCCAACTGCCCACTTTAGGACAGAAGAAATGACAGATGCCCAAGGTCAGGGCTAATGGTGCACACGCGTGCATCTGTGGGGTCGTTCAGGCTCCGTCCCTGGCAGAAACAGAGACACTATCTTGACATTCAGATGACCTTGAAATCACTCTCCTGGTGTGCCGAGTCTGCTGTGACCCTGTCAGGGTGTGGCCATACAATGAGACAGAGGACCGCCAAGGGGGTGCGGGTCAGCCCACTCCTCTGGCTACAGAGAAGCGGCCAGGAAAGTCAAGGGATCTCCCCGAGTCAAGGTGTCAGGCTGAGCTGAGTGTCCATCCAGCCAGCAGCCTTCCCCAGTGGCACCCCAAAGCAGCAGCTCTCGCTTCAGGACCGATGCGGCCTGCCATGGCAGCTTTCCACTCCAGCAGCAGTGGCCAGGAGCACACCCCAGGAAGGATCCTGCCTTGGGGGCTCCTGGGGGTGCAGTGCACGGTGGGCTTGCTGCCCCGGCTCCAAGCACCCCACTTGGCCGTCAGCTCTCAACAAACACTGGGGGCATTCACCAGTCAGGAATTAGATTTTGGAAATTAAGAGGCCCAGGCGAACACAAACTTAAATTATACATAAATATATGTAATTTAAATGCCCCTTAGGACCTTCGACAAGAGTCAACGCAAACAGGCTTGGCTTCTACATCAGACCCTTTATATGCGCTCAGGCAAGTCACGTCGGCCTCCACACCTCATCTGTCTTCTGTGAAATGGGGATAATGAAAGCTGACAGGTCCCCCACCCCCGTAAGAGGGCCGAGGGCTTAATGAGCTCTGTCTGCGCAGGGATGAAAGGTGCCGTCTAATGGAGAGAATTACCATCACTGGGGCCCTAATGGGATCCTGGAGAGGGGGTGGGGCGTGTAATGACACCAGGACGGAGTGGAAACAGGAAGCATCCCCTGAAGATGGGGCTGAGGGGGGTGGGGCCAGAAGCGGCTCTCAGGCGCCCATCAAGCAGCACAGCTATTCAAAGGACAAGAAGTTTCAGAGCCAGAGACGAGCTGCAAGCTGCGACAGCGCTGCGAACCCTGGCACGTTGCAGGGGTTTTCTCAGCAGCGGTATCAGCAAAGCTCCTTTAACAGGAGCCGTGCGTACCCTCAGGCACACCTATGCAGTCATTCCACACATCCCGGGGAACGATATTTACTTATATATGCAGTTCCCAGAGAATGTTCACTTCTGAGACAATTCATGATGGGACTCACCATCAATAACACAAAGGCCTACAGTTAGAGAGGAGAAACTGCCTAGCGAAGAGCCCCTCCAAAAGGCATTTTCTAGAAAATGCTAACAGTTGTTAAGCATGAGCTGTTAACAGACAACATGCTACATTACCAAAGACATAGATGGGCATTATTAGATGAAAGCAGTCAAAATTATTATTAGAATTTAAGTCAATTTACATAGAATGTCTTCAAGTCCAAAATACACATGTGAATGATACAGTAACTATAAAAATTGATTAGCTCTTGACTCCTGAAATGTGGAAAGTTCCATTCTACTTCTTTGCTCTTTTCTGTGTTTCTTCCACCCCTTAATCCCCCAACTTCTCAGCAACAGCTTTGGAGGATGGGGCCAAGTGAGAAGGGCTGGGCCATCTGAGCAGAAAGGCACTCTCAAGATGAAGATTCTTGAGTCAACTGTCAACTTTGGAGAAACTGTAAAGTACTGTCATCCCTCAGAGGACGCTTATATCTGTCCCAGGGGTAGGGTTGAGGGGTAACAGCAAGCCAACAGCTCCCCTTCGCCTTCCCAGGTCCTGGGGGCAGCCTGGCTCTACGTCCCCCACACTTCGCATGGCTATAACTCTTCAGCCTCAGAACAAATGCTACTTTAATAGCGGCTGCTCCCCAGACCCTATAATTAGCCCCCTGTAAAAGGCAAGTTGCCACAGCTCATGTGCAAATTGCCTACTGTGACTCCATCCCCCTCTCTCCCCCCCAAGACTCCAAGCAAGTCAGCAGACGCAGCCCGGACAAGAAGGCCGGGCAGTCACCCTGACGCCCCCCCCCCCCCATGGCGGCTTTTTGGGCCAAGAGGGTCAAGGCTGTGGGAGCTGCTTCAAAAGCTCTCATCACACCACACAGGAGAACATGGCGCGGCTGTTGGCCCTGTTACAGGCGGCAAGGCGGTACAGTCCTGCAGGGGTGTCTAATCACAGCCCTGTGCCAGAGGCAACAAGCCCTCCCAACCAAATGAGCCTGGCCGGCTGTCCTCTCTGGGGTCCGCAAGCCATTGGTCTCTAGCGCCTCCTGCCTGACGCTCAACAGCCACACAGACAAGTCTATGACAGCCTCCTGGGCATCACTGGTCAGGTCTAGGAAGAGCAGGACTAGGAAGACCCAGGTACAGGCGCTCTTTTCCCTCGGGGCAGCGAGGACAGGCTCTGAGCAGACACATGCAAGCACCCAGTGGTCCCTGCAGTAGGTGCCCAAGGCGGGGAGAAGCAGATGGGAGCAGGCAGATGCGAACACGCAGACAGGCATGAGCAGTGGGCATAGCAGCGGCACGCACACTGTTCGAGCAGACAACACTCACAGGCAGGCATCCACCAACGGACACGCACGTGCAGGCACCCACTGACCTCTACCAGCTTCATCATGGGAACAGGGTTGAAGAAGTGGAGCCCGGCAAACCGGTCCTGCCTGGTGGTGGCGTTCGCGATGCTTGTGATCTGCAGAGAGGAAGTGTTGCTGGCGAAAATGGTGTGTCTGCAAGAGAGGTGAGGCGTGTCAGGACAAGCCCACCTTTGAGCACGGCCAGGACCACTCTCGGGCAATGGCAGTCCCAGCTTGGGCTTCACCCCGGGAAACATTTCGTGACAATGCGCAGTCATACCGGAGGCAGAAGGCCAGGCGCCTGGCTCATGTTAATGAAGTAAAGTTAATGTCACTAATTTGCCTGTTTCAAACACATACTTAATCTTTACCAAACTTAATTTTAGGGAGCGGAATATCTCCTGTCTGTTGTAGTTAATATTCATGATACACGACCAAAAAGGAGGCAGCTACTTTTAAGCAACCTCAGACAGAAAGCGAACCTCACTGACCAAAGACTAACTAGAGGAGAGGGTGCTGGAAGGATCCTGGACGCAGAGTAAACAAGGACCTGGAAAGAGACACCCGGATCCTTGACTATGCAGTAGGTTCATTTTCTTTCCTTAATATGCAGGAATTAAGATCGTCTCCTCTTAAGCCAAAATTTTACTTTTCCATTGAACTGGAGTTAAAATGAAAACAAACAAACAAAAAACCCCAAGATAGTTCACACGAGGTGGAGGGCCCATAGGCAGGATCGGGGAAGAAGGAGCATATAGATGGCATACACGTAGTTCAAGGTATTCTGCTCACACAACCTCAAAAAAGGCAGTGCCATCTTCTTTTGTGTGTATAAAATATAAAACCAGTGATAATAAAAATGCTATTCTGACTTAAGGCAAAATTAATTTTTAGGACTATGGCAAAGGCCAGGCCCACCAATCTTTCCACAGGCAGGATGACTATGCTCTCCTGCAGCGCCACCTTGTGGAGACACCTTGCAAAGCAGCCAAAGGCAATCAGAAGCACAGCCAGGTCGGGCCCAGGGCTCTGCTGTTGGGGGGGGGGGGTCGGGGGGGGGGGGGGCTGCTCACCAACCAGAGGACACTAAGGGGTTGGTGGGGCCAGCGAGTGGGCATAGAAAGCCAGGGTTTGGGACAGCGGGGAGGTAAGGGTGGCCACTCCCACCTTCCTCAAGCAAATGCCAACCGTGCCAACTTGAGGTCAGATGGAGAGACCTTTACTTTTGAAGAACTTGACAGTTTTCAAGTGTGGGGATTCTAGTTTTCTGGCTAGTTGTAGAACCGGACCTTCAGCAGCAAGCCCCAGAGTCCCCTGGCACAGAAAGGGCGATCGACGAGAGGAGAGGTACACTCGGAACGTGGAGCCCTCTCATGGACGAGCACTGCCCTCAGGAGGTGCAGAGCCCGCCCCCGCCAGGCCTCCAGTTCTCCTCTGGCCCTGCTGGCCACTGCGGGGGGCCCTCCACACCACACAGGCACGACTGGCTGGCCAGGCGCACACCTCGCGCATGCCAAGTCCACCCTGCTCTCTCCTGGACACGCCTGGTCTGGCTGTTGTGTGTTCCCCCTACCACACAGGCCTCACCTCCTACTAGTGGCTCCAGTGGCAAATGCGGGAGGAGTCAGACGTGGCTGAGTGGCGGGGACACAAGGCCACTCGGCCCTGCAATCACAGACTGAGATGGTGACCACTGCCGCACACCTGCAGCTGCAGCTGGCGCGGCCTGTTGTGGGGCCTGCCGGGGAGCGACACGTGACTGTACCCCAAGGTGTATGCCCCCCAAACTTGGCAGTAACGGGGCGATCTCCAATGAAATCAGGAGCGTATGGAGGAGGGCTGAAGGCCAGCCACCAGCCACCCCACGGCGTCCTTGCTTTCACTGAGGTCAGGGTGCGCTGGGGTGGCCTGGTGCAGCAGGCCCTCGAGGGGCCATGTGCACGTGATAGTCCTGAACCAACGCGGCCACCAGGGAGGCCAGACGTCATTTCGCCCAGTCCCTGAGGGGAGCTGCCCATGAGGAAGTAAGGGCCAGCAAAGCGTCCCACCGTGCATGGTCAGGGCAGATTTCCCCATGGCTCTTCCCACTCGAAGCCCACAACCCACAAGAGAGCTCTCTGCCCGTCAGCGTGTTTCCACAGCCCCAGTGTAGCGTGAAGCCCACGCATGTAGGGATCGAATTAATGCACAGGCGACAGGTCTCCCTCCTCGGGAGCAGGGCCCGTCCCGACAGAGGCAGGGAAGCTCTGCGGGGGACGCACAGCAGGCTGGGATGTGAGCGCCCTGCCGGTCACACCTCAATGGTAGCTGCCTGAGGATTTCTGTCACAGGGTCTTCTGATGTTTACGTCAAGGAGGTGGGTGCAGCATGGCCACGCAAGCCACAAGAGAGCCTGAGTCCACTAGGCCACACTGCTGACAACCAAGGGAGGGGCTGAGGACCGCGGTGCCTGGGCACACAACGGGCCACCAGGAGCACTAGCCCAGGCTGCCCGGCCCTGGGAGGGCTGCAGAGCCCCCGTCGCCCTCCAAGCGCCAGGCTAGCCAGCCGTCCGCGGAACAGGCAGCCGCTGCCGGGGGGCCACCCTCCCACCACACCAGGGCTCTGGGGCAAGGACGGGCCACCCGCGGCTGCTGCCAGGAGGGCTCTGCCCCTTCGAGGGGTGACTGCGCCAGGTGACCAGGATCAGCTGGGGCCTCGGGAAGTGCAGGGCACCGCGGATGGAGAACCAAGGGGGCAGTGGAGGCTTGCAGGCAGCTGTGGGCGCATGGCAGACAACAAAGAGCAGTGAGCACGGCCATGCCCGCTGCGGCGTCACCCACCACCGCAGAGGTGGCGTGGCCAGCAGTAAGCAGAGCCCGGGAAACCATGAAGGCGCACCCTCCCCGTGGAAGGCGCGGCCCACACACTGCCTGTGCTGCAGGGACTGGGCCGCCCTCCTGGACCGGCCCACTCCCACGAGGGCGTGCAGGACAGCTAGAGGAGGCTGCCAGGAAAGCAGTGCAGAGAGACTGAACGCAGGTCAGTCTGCGGCATCAGACTGCTCCTGGGGAGGCTGCCCAGGCTGACAAGAGCATCCAGGGCTCACTTACTCAGCGGCAAACTTGTCCAGCTTCTTGAAGAGCTCGTTCTTCACCTTCAGGTTCTCCACGATGGCTTCCACCACCAGGTCTGTGCTGTGGACGACAGCCGCGGAGTCCGTGCTGGTGGAGATGTTGCCTAGGGTCTTGGCCATGAAGTCCTCGCCAGCCTGGGGAGGGAGAGGGAACGCACACTCGCTGGCGCACAGGAGGCTGGAAAGAGGGCAGACAGCCCATCGCCCCCACACCTGAATGGACTGAAGCCCACTGCCACTCGGGGACAACCGCGTGGTGCCCACTGTCCAGACGCCAGACCCCGCCTGTCACAGCCTGCTGTGGGCCTCCCTTGCGGTCCCCTGGGAGGGCCCATCAGCTCTGGCCTGGGGTGCGCTGCTCCGCTGCCTGCCAGTCTGCCCCAGCATGCAGGCAGCTTCCAGGACACTTCCACCTAGTCCTTTCAGGAGGGCGCACTCAGCCCCGCTGTCCACTGGAGGCCATGTGACTCACCCTCGCACAGAACACCAGGGTGCGCTCAGGGGGTAGGACCAGGCACTTTGCCCAGCAGCCATTGAGCCCTTAAAACAGCCCATGCCAGCGTGCTGACGGAGGCCATCCCAGCAGCATGCGGAGCTGAAGGACATGAGATGTGGCACCCCTCCCCAGGCCAGGCCCAGGTCTCTGCCCAGAGGGGCCAGCTGAGCTGGTCACCAAGCGCGAGCCAAACCAGGTCATCTGGGCGTGGACTCCAGCTACCAGACCAGGCTCTTGAAACCACCGCAAGCCCATGATGAGCAGGGCACAGCCCGACCATGAGGTCTGTGGGGATGACAAAGAGCAGTGAACATGGCCATGCCCGCTGCGGCGTCACCCACCACCGCAGAGGTGGCGTGCCCAGCAGTAAGCAGAGCCCGGGAAACCATGAAGGCGCACCCTCCCCGTGGAAGGCGCGGCCCACACACTCCCTGTGCTGCAGGGACTGGGCCGCCCTCCTGGACCGGCCCACTCCCACGAGGGCGTGCAGGACAGCTAGAGGAGGCTGCCAGGAAATCAGTGCAGAGAGACTGAACGCAGGTCAGAGATGCCCGCAACTGCGGTGGGCAACAGTGCTTCCAAGCAGACAGAATTTCTGCTTGGAGAGAGAAATGAGTGTTGCGTAGTGGTGTGAATATCATTAAATTACTCGACAGTGGGGCCGCCCTGGAGGCACCGGGGTTAAAGCACGCGCCATGAAGCTGCCACAGCCACTGCAGCATGAATTCCACCCCTGGTCAGGGAGGTGACCCACAGGCCCAGAGGACCTCGCCTGTCTCCCCGCTGCTCCCCTCTGCAGTGTACTTCAGTCCATCTGCCTGTTCTGCTCCCCACTCCGTCTCTGGGGAAGCCTCTCACTCCCTGCACCTCGGGGCTGTACCCAGTTCTTGTATGCATAAATAAATAAACCTTTAAAACAAACTACTCAACCGTACCCTCATAAATGGTGAAGATGGTAAAATGTTAACGTAATTTAGCCCAAGAGGAAAATGCTAAAAGGCAACCTGAGGGCACCGTGGAGCAAGCGAGAAGCACAGCGCAGCCGGCCGCAGCGCCCTTAGCCTGCACCCAGACACCGCCAGGCCGCGAGGGCATCGTGCTCAGGCCACTGTGCTCGGGGACAAGGTTGACCTTGTGACATGTGCCGCCTTCACGGTTAATGGCAATGGCCCAGTGAGAAAGTGCCGGCACACCAGAGTCCTCACCCTTCCCGGAGCTCAATTCCTGTATCTCACCCCTGAGGCGAAGCGAGAGCACCTCACTGTCTGCTGTCCTCCTAAGCACGTACGTCAAACACAGGCAAGGGGTTATCTAAACCACACGCCGCTGCCCAAGCGCAGCGTTTACTCTGTCTCCGCGGACAGGCCAAGTGCAGGGCGCGTCCGCCCTCGCCCTCTCCCATCGCAGCGCCACCTTCAATCCCAAATTCGCAGAGGACATGGCAGTCGCTGCTGCAGGGGCTTCCTCAACCTCAAGCCCAGCAACACGTCTCTCTGCATGTCCTCTCCTTAACGGGCGCCAAGGAAAGACAGTGGCTTGCTGTCATGTCGCTCAGAGGAACGGGGTGCGCACTCTCACACAAAGAAATCCAAAGCAGCCGGCGATGGTGAGCCTCCCGCTTGCCCTCCGCACCCCGGAGGCTTCCGGAACAGGACATCACCTTTGGGTCATCTGCAAACTTCTTCTTGGCCACTTTCCTCAGGCTTTCCTCAATGCTCTTTTTGGATTTCGCCAGGATGTCCTCTGACTGGTCCACTAACACAACTGTGTGGCCACTTGCTGCAGCAACCTGGAGCACAGGAGAGGGCAGAGATGTCAGAGCTAACAGACTTGCATATTCCCCACAGAATGCACCACCCTGCCTCAGAGTGAGGCCGAGCGAACAGGAAGCCAACCGTGAAAGACAGACGCCTCTTGCCAGGCCCTGATCTCACCCCACCCCGAGGGTGAGCAGTGCCCTCCACAGCTTCCCAAGCCACCTGTCACTCACTCCTGCCCAGAGCTGCCAGGCCCCTTTGGAGCTGCTGAAATGTGAGAATTAAAATCTCCCTCCTCAGCTTCACTGGCCACGTTCCAGGAGTTGGGAGCACTGAGGGTGCAACCCCCCGCCTCTGGGCACGAGCCGCTATCCTGTCAGCAGCTGCCACGGACTCTGATGATGGGGCAGACCCTCCTGCCCCCAAGTGCTAGTGACAAGACCCCTGTGGTGAAAGCAGTTCTTTGGCTCAGACACTTTAGGAAGGCACCACTTCCCCCCACACTACACCTCCAGGGGTCCCAAGGGTATGCTGAGTGAAGGGGCTCCAGCTTTCAAGGAGTCAGCTTCTTGGAAGCAATGACAACTGACTAGGTAGTGTGGCTCCATACAGGTCCCTGCATGCCATGACAGGCAGGTGCTGGGAGGCGCTCTGGGACCCGAGGGCGAGGCATCGCTTGGAAACCATGGGGGCCCAGGGTCAGCTGAGTGAGGCTGCCCAGAGAAGACACTGAGAAGGAAGGGGCTCTGAGCCACCACCACAATGTGCAGTTCTTGAAACTTGCAAACTAACACCAAAGCTGAAGACAAAGAGAAGAAAGGGGAGTACAAAGGCAGAGAGGTTCGAACCCCAAAGCAAGACTTCCCAAGGACTCTCTTTGCGTGATGAAACAGGGCTGGAATGAAGCCAGCTACAAGGCCGTCAAAGGCCTCCCGGGGGAGCTGTGCACAGCTGTGCTGGAGTGCGGGGGACCCCTGCCCAGAGCCACAGCAGGCAGCAGGGCAGGGGGCAGGCGCTCCTGCCTGCTGCGGGATGGAGGCCAGCAGAGAAGCTGCCTGTCCAGTCAGCAGAATTGTGGAGTGAGGGCGGGCGGGTGGGCGGCCGGCCACAGTGAAACCCTGGTCTCCTAAGTACGGCCGCCACCCAAGCCCAGCTTCCCTCTGAGGCTGACTGAGGCAGGACCTCAAACCCTGGGATGCAAAGCTGAATCTCTGCTTCAAGAAATCAAGAAAAACAGCAGAGTAAATTCAGAAACTGCAGAAAAGACAGGCCTGACACCTCTGTGTGCGGAAAGGCCCAGGGCTGGCCTCTGGAGTGGGTGCCCGCGCCCAGCTGAGAGTGGCTTGGGCACCCAGCTTGCTGCCCCTATGGGCGGGCAGGGGCAGGCACAGGCTGAGGAGCCCACTGGGGGTCCAGGCATGGTCTCTCCCAAGTCACGCGAGCCAGCGTTCCCTACGTGCCATCGAGATCCTGGGGTCCCAGCCGCGGGCAGCCCGCCTGTCTCCTCTGAGTGCCCCGCGCGGCCCTCTGTGGTCTGATCTGGCCCGTGCACCCTTCTCCCAGCGCAGTCTGGCCGCACGCCAGGCGCCGCAAGCACGCAAACCTGCAGGCCGGGGGCTGGGTGGAGGCCCTGACACAGCTCGGAAAGTAGGGAAGTCACTTCTAATTCCAAGGGCATTAGATGAGACGGGCACCCCTGGGAGCAGCAGCTGACGATGACAAAGGAGGGCATGGTGTAGGCAGGGGGGAGCAGGGAGCTCCTTGGGGCCTCCCACTTCAGTTCAGGCTCCTCAGTCTGTCAGTCCCTGGAACGCACTTTCACTTCACCCCTGACCTAGACCATGCCAATGAGGCCAGAATCAAGGCCAGAATTCCCCTGCCAGCCAGGGCTCATGTCACTTCAGCAGAAGTCACTTAGGCCTCTGCTACTCAAGGAAGGAATGGCACAAGGTGGGGTGGAAAGAGATGAGGGGGACTGTCTTAAAGGTCAGGGCCTCAGTACCTCAATGAGAAACCCGAAAGGGAAACTGCCCCGCAGTTACCGTGAGGCTCTACATGTGGGTACACTGTGAGGAGAGAGGGAAGAACAGACTCACACGGCCCCCGCCGAGTCCCCCAAGAGCACGAGAGATCGGCCCCTGCCTCGCTTCATGCTGGCGTCAGAATGGGCACCAGAGACACTGGGGGCAGAGGGGGCAGAGGCGCTGTGGGCTCTGGGCGCCGCTGCATTCGGGCAGGGGCGCGGCCGGGCCTACTGCAGGGCTTCGTGTTCAGTCAGCCAGTGAGTCCCCGACGGGCAGAGAGAGGACACAGTCCTTACCCCAGGGCCTGCCACACACTCTGGGAACACGAACGAACACACACACACTTACACTGGATTCCCTCCAATGTCACTAGCCTGTGCCTCCTGTCAAGGGGCCATGGCCAGGCCAAAGGCTCCAGACTCGGTGTCAGTGTCTTCCAGGAGGATACGTGTGTGGAAGGGCCAGGACGGTCACAGACACACTCACACACAGGTCGCTTCTTTAACACACTGGGAAACAGACACATTAGTTGCGCAACCACTAAGGGTCAAAGTTGGGCAAAAGCGCTTCCTGTTCAGGTTTATTAGCTATAGCTAACCAAGCTCGGATTTTCAGAACAGGAAGACACCGAGGCCACTCAATGAGGTGGCTTACAAGCTATGGTGGTCATAAAATCCCTCACAGGAAGAAATACAGGAGGACAGTATGCTGGCTGAACAAATACAGCTGGCTGAGAGGCCAAGGTGGCCAAGGGGTGGGGAAGGCCAGGGGTCTCGTCATCGTGTGGCTGAGGGGCTTAGGGCCTCCGCACAAAGCGAAGGCAGCTACAGCATTTGGGGCTCTAATGGCAGGTGACTTGGGGCTCACTTACTCTTCTTGCAGTGTGCACTGGTACCAGCCATGTCACCCCAACTCTCTGAAGGGAGGGCAGAGCAGGCACGCACCACGTTAAGCAAGTGGCCATTTTCTCCTTTTCCCTCAGACGTGCACAATATGCTGTTTTACAACAAATACGGCTCTTCCCAGCACTGTAATTCGAATGAGCATAGTTCACATTGGCCCACTGAGATGTAAACCTCTGTTGATAGTACAGTAACCCCACACCGTAGGATGGTGGGAACAAGCAGTCTGCAGTGGAAAAAGTGGCTTGTCCTCAGCTCCGTCCCCTGGAGCCCTGCTGGAAGAAAGGCTTTGCCAAAGAGAAGTATTTTTAGACAAGGGTGCCTCAGAGCTATAAAAACAGGCCCAGAGAACAGCACACAAGCCGCGATCCCAAGCACTCTAGCCACAAGGCCCAAGCACTCTAGCTGCACAAACACCACGCGGCAGGACGCTGGCTTGGGTATTTGTGCACACACATTGCCAGACTTGCAGCAACTCCTCTGAGGCAGAACCCGAATGGGGAATTTCTAAGGATGACACCAAATGGCCTGGTGAGGCGTCTGCCTGCCCCCAGAGCGCTGCTGCAGGACGGCTGGGTTCCCCAGCATCACATGGCAAAGTCGTGCTGCTCTCTACATCCTAAGCTCTGACACCCCCTGCCCTCCTCAAGAGTAGGTGTAGGAGTCAGGCTTCCAGGACGGCACCAAGGCCCGCCCTGACGTTCTCAGGATTTGATCCAGGGAGGGAAGAAGCCACAGCTCAGCTGCACCCACCCAGGAGGCCCCTCGGTTTAAGATGGTCTCTGGGTGACTCAGAAAACGGTATTCTAGAGGCTTCAGTCACCACTGCCGCCACAGCCAGCCGGCTGCCTTAAAGGAGTTTGTTTCTTTGGCTGGCTCTGCTTGTAAACTTAAACAGTTCAAAAGCTATTTCTAAAAAGTCTGGGAAAGGTGCCTCTATTCTAAAATGAGAAGTCTGTTGAGTAGTAGGAATTTTTTTTTTTTTTTAAATTCAATAGTTCGGTACTTTAAATAAAACAACCAAGCAATTTCCTCCCTGTCTCCCCCAGGATTCTCTTTCCCTGTGTCCCACAAATCCTGGAAAGGAGAAGGGGTAAACTGGACATGTAGTGTTAGGGGGAAAGGGTGCCCTGGACGAACTCCACAACGGTTTTTGTGGGCTCCAGCCCCACTCTAGACCAAAGCCAGCAAGAGCTGGGAACTACAAATCCCATCATCACAGAAGGGGATGCTGGGCCTGAGGGTGGTGCTTTGTGTAAACCAGACTCGTGGGCCTGGGTGCTCTTGTGCTCTTGGCTTTCACCGGCTCTCAGCGTGCCCCTGGGATCCCAGGTCAGCAGAGCTAGTAGGACACATATACCAATTGATCTCTTTTTCTTCTCCCTAAAATAGTCATTTCTTCATTTCCCCTTCTTTTGCAAATAACCCCTTTGCTAACCTTTGTGTGTCTGCAGTTGAGTCCCTTTCCGCGCTGGGGTGAGCACCCACAGTCAGGCCCCCATTTCATACTCGGGTTGTCCTGCAGCAGTAAATGGGCCCTTTAGTTATACTGAGGAGTCACTGAAAGATACTGCCTGATGGTCAGTGGGCACAGTTTGCTACAAATGCAAAAGGGCTCTGGCCGGCTCTGGCGGGAGTTAACATGGCAGCTTTCCCCAGGAGATTTGCTGAAAAGACCTGGTGAAGAGCCTGCCACAATCCAGGTATCACTGCCCGCTCCCGGAATGGCAAAGGAAGGAGCCGCCCTGGAGGTGAGCCAGACTGTGGTGTGGGTGTGGAGGGGCTGCCCACAACCTAGTTTCAGAACCACAGCAAGACAGGGCAGAAGCCACCTGGAAAGCTGGGGGGTGGCGTGTGGTGGTGGGGGCAAAGTGAAGGAACACAGTGGACTACTAACTCTTAGCAACTGAGTCTGAATCTATTCTGGGAAGAGCATGTCCAGCTGGAGATGGCCAGCAGGTGCTTCTGGCTGAGTGTGGCGATTAGGAGAGGTCAAGCTGGTACCTGCTGATTCCAGACACCCATAGCGACCTCACCACAAGCGGACACACACGTCTCCCCACCGAAGCAGAGGTCAGAGATGCAGGCAGAACTGCGAGGACTGCAGGCGCCACAGACGCAGGCTCCAGGCTCCAGAGAGCACAGACCACAACGCAGACCTGCCAGCCTCACAGAGTGGCCACAGCCAGGAACGAACTGCCTTTTCTCAATTAGTTACTACCTTCAATGACAGGACACCGAGGACCTGGTGTCAAGTCTTAAGTACCAGGCTCTCTTGCAAGTGCTCTAAGTTGAACTCAAAGTGACACCCCAAATTGAGTACACAGCGCACTAAGATTGTCTTTTTCAATAAGCCGCACAGTTATAACCTTAAAGTCTTTAGCACTCGTTGATTCCTCCTTCCCCTACCAAACCTCTGCAAAGTCAGCGCAGAGAATCCTTAAGAAGAGCGGTCACGCTGTCTTGGCCTGCTGGTCCACAACAGCTAATACCTCCCACGGCCAGCCCTGAGCCAGGAGGCCACCTCAGGGCATGCACCTCACAGCGATGGAGGCAAGGAAGAGCCCAGAGAGGGTGAGGGCCTCGTACTTGGTTCCGACAGCAAGGAGAGGAAGACTGGACCCCACCGGCAGCAGACAGGCCAGCCTGTTCCATCCCAGTGTGAAGCCTGCAGGCAGCTGAAATTAGCACAGCAGGAGGACGCAGAATGAATGGAGGGGAGAGGCGCCCACAAGAAACAGGCGTAACCCAGGGGAGACAGAGCGTTGCATGAGGGGTGTGCGTGCCTAGGCAGACACAGGGAAAAGAAAGACAGGTGAGAGGAAATTCGGCGCAGATCACAGGAAACCCCAAACCAGAACAACATGCCGTTTCTGCTCCCCAAGGTCAAGTGTCCCAGAGCATCTCCCCTTGCCAGTCAGCCCTTCCTCTCTTATGCTGCTCCAGGCCCAGCTCAGGGCCCAGGATAACAGAGGCCAATTTCACTGCCCAGGTGTGTCATGAGGAGGACGGGAGACGTGCCCAAGAAAGGAGAGAGCAGCCACGCGGGAAGTGAGGGAAGAGCTTGATGACAGCCCCCAAGTCTCTGCTCGGAAGAAGTTAAATAGCAAGAGTAAGATTCCTCCCACCCAAAAGAACAGTCAGGAGAGCTGCAGCGGGACTGGGCTGGTCCCGAGGCCCTGCACCCTTTCCTCAACGGCAACTTCGGCAAGCTCTGGTGAAGCAGCTTTCAGATGGCCTGAGTCCTCACCAATACTGCAGGGCAACGCCGGGGCAGAAAATAGTCACCAGGACCTCAAAATGTTGCCCCCCCCCACCCCGGCCCTTGTTTCCACAGCCTCAGGAGCTCTCCCTCAAAGAGATGCTGCACTTCTTGCTTCTTAACATGGACACAAAGACAAAAACTTTGGGTGAAAAGAACACTGTCCCGACCCCTTCTCAGTGCCCAAAGAGCTGTAATGCAATGAAAGGAAGGGGTGTCTGAGAGCCCAAAGAAATGCCCCCTCCGCAAGGAGCCCCCGGGGGCCTCACCACTAACTGAACAAAGCTGCCAACTCTCTGGGCTCCGCGGATACAAAAAGGTACCAGACGAAGCAAAGCTGAGAAGACTTTCTCTGTAAACTGAGACACTGCGCAGTCAGCCTTCACTTTCCCCCTTTATGGAACAACTACAATACAAACAACCCATCTGTGTTCCTCTCCCCAGCCTCCCCCCAAGTGTCTCTGCGCCCTAAGTGTCTGGTTGAAGAGAGCAGCCCAGCCAGGCCAGGAGATAGTGAGCAAACACACAAAGCAAGTCAACCTTACTTACTTAAATATTAACCTGCGGCCTGAGGGATTGTTTTTTTTTTTTAATTCAAAGCAAACTAGAGATGACGAGCAAGGCAGATGCTCCTGGAGAAACAAATGTACAAATTGCCTGTGCTCTGATCCAGTGTAATCAGGCACAGACCCTACTCGCCTTAAACTGCCTAATTGCCTGAGAAAAGTGTCAGGCTCCCACAAAAATCGACATTCTTTCACCCTACTCAGCATGAACTGGAACATATGACCAAGCCATTAATTTTTAAAAATTAGAATTGTAAACAAACTGCAGCTTAATTAAAGGTCAACTGACTTCAAAACAGTTAAGGTAAATACATAGCTCTCGGAGGCCCCACAAGGCACTGGAAGGCAAAAAGGCCCTCCCTCTCTCCCGGGGCTCTGGACAAACAAACTGCAGTAACAGTGCCCTTCTGCCCCCAAACTATCCATCCGCATCACATCCAGCACGCTCCGTTTAGTAAGTGCTCCAGGCCCACCTCAGCCAAGAGGACCAGGATGGAAGTGGATGTGAGACGGACGAGGCGGAAAGACAGGCCAGCTAGAACGAAGACACCACCCACAAAGGCAGCTAACACTCTGCGAGCTTCTATTTGGTGCCACATGCCAGGCTTGACAGCAGTCATCCCACCTTCCGCATTCCCACAAGGCTGGGACGAGTGCTGCCTGCTTCAGGGGTGAGCAAACCCAAGCACAGGGGAGAAGCAACATCCAGCTAACACCGCCCTCTTAAGAGGCCAAGCCAGAATCAGGACATCCCATTCAGTTCCCCTCGCTGACCTGGAGCCAATCTACATTCAAAGCACATCAAATGTCAGGAGCAAAAAAGATTTACTCTGTGCCAACTGCTGCCAGTCGGGGAGCATGGAGAATGAGCCCTCCGGCCTAGAACCTCACATTGCGCTGGCCAGAGTGCAAAGGCAGATCAGCTAAAGCTCAGGGACACCTTGGTCCCAGCGCACAGCCAGCACATTTCTTCAGGAAAGGGGGCCCAGCCAGGGTGAGAATGAAGTGGTCGGAGTGCCGAGGCGCTTTCAAACTGCAGTGTGGAGTCAGACTGCTCTTCTTCATGACCTTGCACTATAAGCACTTCTGGTTTTATTTACTTTAAAAGTGACAGTTCCATGTTGTTTCTAAGCTGTGAGACAAGTGCCCCCCCCACCCCTGAAGTCTGAGTAGGTACCCCCTGGACCAGCTCAAGGACCAAAGTCTGAATCCACAAGTCTGTGTCCCACCCAAGCGGAAAGCTCCTCCCTGCTCCTTTCCCTGAGGGACATCCCACCAAGAAGGCCACACCCATCACCATGGGGCTACCAATGGCCTCGCGTGTTCAAGAGCAGAGTGAACTGGGTTTTGTAAAATTAGACACTAAAGAGTTCGTAATCACTTTCATGATGTCTTCCCAACATCAATGGTTTCTGGACCAGCTTCCTATACTGTTGCTGGAGCCTTATGCTGCAAAAGGGTGTATGAGGGTCACTATGAGGGTTTTGAAATGGTTTAAAAACAAATACATTGCTTTCTGCCTGCCCATAACAAAGCCACTCTCACAGCCAGGGTGCATTTCAGAACAGCAGGGGAGACCAGTGAGCTCAAGCTAGACCCTCCAAAACTCCAATAACAATGTGTGAAACTATTAGGTTAAAGAGACTGCCTCCTTGGGTGTTTGCAGCAGATTATGAGAGAACACAACTCGGCACCCAGGACAATGTAAGTCCAGAAACACTATCTCAGAAGAGAGAAGAAACACACTGAAAGTCGGAAGATAAAAAAAATCGCTCATGAAGTATACAGGTCGTAGGAGAAAATGCAGCTGAATGTGCAGCTGAAAGTGTGGTCGCAGGAGACAAGGAAGTAATAGAGGTAAAAGATCTTTTTAAAAGCAAGCTGGGGTTGGTGAACTTGGTTGGAAGTAGCCTCTGCACGTAAGTACTCTCCTGAGAAAAATCAGACTACCTGCCCCCAATAATGCGACCTGCAGGGGGCTGAAATGCTGACTTTTAATCTGCTAAGAGGAAAGTCAGCAGTAGGAGCAGGGGTGCAACCGCTACAATTACGTTTTACAAATGCAAGGACCACAGCAACCCGGTACTGGACGGCACAGCTGACCCTTCACCTGTGCACTGGGGCACTGGCCAGGTGGGGCGCGAAGACTCCTCTCCCATTCTCGCCTGTGCGCACAGCGCTGCACAAAGTGCACTAGGTCAAAGGTGCCGGGGCCTCTCCAGATCTGATTAGTGACGGTGTGCGGAGTGCCACAAAACTAAAGACCATTCTCTGGAGCCCAGCAAGCCACGGAGGCAGCGCCGAGAGAACGTCAGGAGCGCTGCAAACCGCTGCCAACGATCGCAGGATTTTTAACACGAAGAGTAAAACGACAACTGCTGGCGGACGGGTTGTCTGGCCGCCCAGTCCGGGCAGGGGAAGCTGGCTCGGAGCCCGCCCCCACAGTGCACTCCGGGCGCCCCCGGCCCGGGGCGGCTGGAACGTGACCCCAAGGACACAGAGGCCGCCGGGCGGTGGGGGTGGGGACGTGGAGACTCCCCGGCCCCGAAACCGCGACGTTCCAGCCCTGGGGCCGGGACCCAGCGGCCCGAGCTCCCGGCGCTGCGGGCCCCGCACCCCTGGGGGCCCAAACCCTCGCCGGACCCCCGCCCCCGGGCCCAGGAGGGCTCGCCCCCACGGCCGGCCGGACGCCGCCACGGCGGCCCCCGCCCGCGCCTTCCCCTCAGGGGGCTCACCTGGGCGATGCCCGCGCCCATCAGCCCGGCGCCGATGACCGTCACGTGCTTGACCATGATCTTCTTCGCCGAGGCCGAGGCCGAGGCTGAGGAGGACACGGAGCGCACGAACTGCCTGGTCACGAAAGCCATGACCTGACGGGGAGGCGGCGGCGGCGAGACCCGCGGAGGAGGCACCGGCGGCGCAGCGCGAGCGGGCGAGCTCGGGGGCGGGACCTGGCGCGCTCCCGGACGTCACGCGAGGCGGGGGCGGAGACTCGCGTCCGCTCCACCCATTGGCCCGCCCGCGGGGCGCGCGGGCTCACGTGGGCGGGGCCTCCGGGCTCACGTGGGCGGGCGCGGCTCCGCCTCCCGCGCGGGCTCTGTGGGGACCCGCGGGTCCACACGCTGACGCGAAGCCGGGTGAGTCGCCCTACGTTTCTGTCAGTGCAGCGGCGCGGAATGCCACCGCGGCCCCAGCCGGCTACGCCACACCGCCTTGTAGTGAAGACCCACCTGAGCCAGGTTAAACCCTCGCTCGTGACGCGGTGCCTCCCTGTGCTGAGTAGGCAAGTGCAGTTTGGCGGGGTGGTGAGGGGACCCAAATGAGCCCCCCTAGTTTCCTACCTTCGAGTAGCCACCGCTAGGGTTGGTTTAAGTACGGTGGCTGCTGACTGTTTCTGCTAAAACGGGAAGAAGAAACAAATCGCTGCCCCCAAACTACTAAGTTCCCAGGCAAAGGTCCACCCAGGGAAGGGGCAGGAGAGTCCAGCCTGATGCGTCGACCCCTGCAGCGAATGTCCGTCCAGACTCTGGGACACGATCTTGGGGCGACCAGCCTCTCAGTGGAGGGAGCGATTCCTAGTTCCCTACTTTATGATACAGAACTTTTATTAATATCTAAGTATGCTACAAGGAATCACAAAGGCACCATCCTGACACAGGTCCTCTGTCTTAACTGAGTGATGCCATGAAGTTAGGATCCTGCCCGGGTCACTGGCGGAGGAGGTCACCCGTCCTGGGCCCCAAGAGTCCTCGATGATCAAAAGAAATAGCCGCAGGTACCTTTCCTACCTTTCCGAGCTGAGGGTCCAACGCTGGTGTCTGGTCTTCTGATGCAGGAGGGCCATCCTGCCACCTGCCCCAGTCCAGTCCTCATCCGTCACAATAGAACCTACTTTTCTAGCACTTTGCCCTGTTGTGGCCTTGGGGCCACAGAAACCACCGCTGTGGCTTCTGACTCACCCCTTCATCCTGTCCTTAAGAGGTGCTTCATTTCTTTCTGCAGAAAGGTGGGGGGGAGTGGAGGCAGACACTTGTTTTTCTGTCTTATTACTTATTTTTAGTCACTCTAGTAGAAAATTGTATCCCCATAGAGTTGGGATTTTCCTACTTGCAAGTGCTTATTGACCATTCGCTGACTTTTGTTAAAATATCAGCTCAGATCTCTGATCCACCGTTTATTTGGACTTCATATCCATGTGGACTCATGTATTCGTACTCTTTCCAAATGTGTGTGACCCGTGGCTGTATTTTGATGTCCATTTGAGTCTTGACTTGGCCAGTGGAAAGCTCTTCAAGATGGCAGCGGGGCGGCCTCCTAAGGGGCTGGTGGCCACCTCTGCTGCTGTGAAGCAGAAGGGCCTTCCCCACCGGACAGCAGTGCCGCCTCAGTAAGAAGCCTGGCCTTCCCCTGACACGTGCACATCAGTTACACTGGAATACCACCTGAGCATCATCTTCAGGGAGCCTGGATGAGCTCCTACACATCACCCCTAGCTGGCCCTGGAAATTCCACTTCATTTGATAAGGCTATAAATTTAGAGCAGAACAGAGTCAACTTCGGTGCTTCTCAAAATGCAGGCAGCTTGTGCGATCATGTATGGACTTGTGTAATGAGTTAAATTCAGATAGGTGTTGAGCTTAATAAAGTAGATAACCCTGGTGGCGCAATGGGTTAAAGTGCAGCACTGCAAGTTGGCTGCAGCTGCTGCACATGAGTTCAATCCCCAGCCCCGGAGGTGACCCACAGGGCATGACAGACCTCCTGTCTCCGCTGTTCCCCCAGCAGTGTGCTTCATCAATCTGCCTGTTCTGCTCCCCACAGTCTCTGGTGAATTCACTCACCACCCCTGCACCTCTGGCCTATACCCCAGTTCTGTATGCATACATAAAAATAATAAAGTAGATAAAGTGAAAACTGTAGGCTGTGATGATAAAAATGCTGGCTCCAGTATTGCTGAATGAATAGCGAAAATATGCTTTTCTTTGCACCATATACTTTATTTATTTATTTGCCAAAATGACTACTCTGTGTGCTCTAGTGTCAGAGAATTTGGTAGCAGAAGCCTGTAGCTCCATAACGTTGATATACTCTATAGTAGGCAGCATGAAGAAACATAGTTGTTGTTTTTTAATAAATCCACATGTTGTTGCTTTCCTAAGAACACTCTGTAATAAACTCATTTTAAAACTCACAAAGATGGTTTCCCCAGTTGCCTCAACTATATCAGAAGGATTCAGCCTAACGAGGCTCATCTCGTACCCAGACGGCCTAGCTCTGGACACAGCCATCTTGTGAGGAATCCTGTGTCCTTTCCAAGGTCTTGACAGCACGAGCTGTTGCAGGTTGGATTCATCCTCTGTGGCTGAAACTTGGTGACTGGGAAAAAAATGGTCTTGCAGGTTTTGTGGGTCGGGGGATCAGGAGTGGCTGGGTTGGGTGGTCGCTGATGAGGTGGTAGTCCAGGAGTCCTTCAAGGCTGAGGGATCTCAGGGCTTCACCCCTCAGAAGACATGCCCCTAGGAACGGCACCCTCACATGACTCTTAGCAGCCTGCGCAGAACTCTGCCGACTGCTGAAGTGTCAGTTGCTCCCTTCTCACAAGGCTTCTAGGAGGTTGCTGAGTGTTCCTGCAAGTGGCAGATTCTGGTTTTCCTGGTCTGGGGAGCACCTGGCCATCCATTATGTTTCTCAAGTTCCCAGATGAATCTAAGATTGTGCCAGAGTTGAGCTAGAGGAGTGCCTCTTGTAGGGGAAATGAAGGCCCACCGGAGAAGTCTCATGCTCCCCAGAAGCCACCCAGTGAAGCGGCACAGCCAGGGCTTGGCTCCCAGGCCATAGAGAAAGCAGGCAGGGGCCCTCCCCGCAGCCAGCCCAAGGTTCAGTGGGTTAAAAGGCAATATGTACTGGATTATAACAGAGATAAGCACTCAGCGCCTTGCCACAGGGGCTGGCACGGATCCACTCTTCCCTGCACCAAGGCTGACTCCAGAGAGGGAGGTCAGAATGGGCTGTGTCCTTCAGGGGTGGGGTGGAATTGCCAGACCATATGATAGTTCTATGTTTAATCTTGAGAAACACCATACTGTGTTCCACAGTGGCTGGACAAGTCCCACCAACCGTGTAAGAGGGTTCCTTTCCTCCTACATCCTCGCCAGCACTTTTGGTGAACAAAATTTGAACAGGAGTACAGACTCCTGTGTGTTTACTGGAGCACTATTTACGATACCCAAGTTATAGAAACAGCCCAGGTGTCCAGCCTCAGGGAGTGGATTCAGGAGCTATGACCTATATATACAATGGAATACTACTTGGCAGTGAATAAGAAAGTTGAAATCTGATCAGTTCAACAAGGTGGATGGAGCTGGAGGGGGTTAGGCTGAGCAAAATAAGGTGGACAAAGACAAATACTGGATGATATAATTTGTAGATGGAACATAGAGAAACAAAGCAAAGGAACAGAAAAACCGAGGCAAGACAAACTAGACAACTGACTGCAGAGGTGAGGCTGCCAGGGAAGGAAAGGAGTAAAGGAGGAGGGGGACCCACCTTATTTTGCTCAGCCTAACCCCCTCCAGCTCCATCCATCTTGCTGAACTGATCAGATTTTACCTTTCTTATCCAGCGCCGAGTAGTGTTCCACTGTATATGTAGGTCATAGCTCCTGAATCCACTCCCTGAGGCTGGACACCCGGGCTGTTTCCATACTTGGCTGTGGTAAGTAGTGCTCCAGTAAACGGACAGAGGTGGAGGGCTCTTGGTGGTGGGTGTGGTGTGGTGACATGCATCGGCACAAGTGTGACTGGAGCCAAATCTGCCTCGATAAAAAAAGGATGCAATTTTTAAAAAGGAAGAGAAATGGGGTGAATGTCCCCAGAGGGCATCTGATACCCTGCCTAAACACCGGGCTGACTGGCCATTGTGGCCTCTCTCTGGGTAGGTCTATTCCTGCTTCCATCTCCTGTCCTGACATCTGGCAACAAAGAATTTTGTTGAGTGGTGAATTTGTAAAGCAAAAAAGCCCAGCACAACACTATCTTAGATAAAATCAGAAGTTTAATGAAGTCATCCAAAATTAGGCTAAAGAGGAGGACTACACATTTCAGGCACATTTATAAAGCAAAGTGCTCTTGTTTTTATAGTTCAAGTATAAGTAGTAAAATTTCGACAGATTCGAGGAAAACACAGCCCTTTGGTAAAGATGTTTTTAAAGTGCTTCAGTGTAAGGCATTATATGCAATCATTTATAAACATCTGATTTCTGCATCATCTCATAGATGGCTTTTCCCTCAAGTACACTACAAGCAGGAACGCAGAAGGACAGGTATGCTTTGGGGAGGAGGATCTTGCCATTGCAAAGGTTTCGTTTAGGCCACTCGAAAGCACACGCGACTCCACGTCCCCAGGTTGTCCCGCTCACCATGTTGGCGGCAAGCAGAAATGGTCTCGCTTGGAAGCTGCAGCCCCCGCCCCCCGCCCCAGTCACTCACCCTTCTAGGGCAGTCTGCTCATTGGTGTTCCATTTGCAATGAACTGAAGACCAGCCTGCATTTCGGCTGTCTATAGTGAGGGTGCAGAGACAGACTGCAAGGATGAGGGGTGGCTGCCCAGGCCAGGTCCGCAGGGGCCGTGGGGTCTGACACAGGCAGGCTCGACATGGCAACATGCTTTTACACCACGTGCCGGAACGTAAGTGTCTCGGCTCTGACAGTTGCAAGACGGCGCCCTGGGAAGAGCTCCCGCAAGAACTGTGTCAGCCACACAAGTGAAGGGAAGTTGGGGAGCAGAATGAGGGGCTCATGGTAGGCGCTCATCCTTTGCCTCGATGGCCTCTGTAACTGGAGGGCGCATGTCCTGTGCCACCTGTTCTCCTTGGGGCTGTGCCAGGGCCCCACTGTGGAGCACTCAGCCGACGCCCAGCATCCTGGCCGCAGAAGGCCGGAGACACCTCGCCGCTGTGATAACCCAGACAGAGATGTGCCGAAAGAGACCATGCCCTCCTTTACTCCTCCAGAGGAACCGCTATACTCACAATGTTCATCTCTTAAGAGCAAGAATGTCTTCCTGTCTCAAGAGGCTGGGCAGGGAGTGGGGAGAAGAACAGGAATGCTGGTACAGTCTCGGTCCGCCCTCAGGGCTCACGGGCTCCCGCCCAAGCCAGAGCTGTGTCTCCGAGTCAACGCAGCTGAGTGCTCAGCCTGGCTATGGCCCCTGGCAGACCGAGAGGCTCCACCAGCAGCCTCCTCTCACCTACAGGGCAGGGGCCGCTGTACCCACGTCTCTGAGAAGTAAAAACTGAAATCATAAGCGAGAAGATGACAATTCCCAGGATCTGTGTCAAGAAAAGCTCTAAATAATTCCAGAATGTAAAGACAACAAAGGAACCAGTGTCACACCAGTCAGGCTGTCACGGGCCTTGCACAACAAACCCCTACCCCTGAATTTGTTCTCAGACTTAACTGTTTTGATGCTGTCAGAAGAGACTCGACTCAGGGCATCTGAGTGCGGAGAGCAAGCTAGAGAGAAGGCATGGCACTGGCCTCGTGCCTGAAGGTGGACGATGGAGGCCAGCGGTGAGGGGGCAGGCTCGCTGGGTGGATGGAGCTGGGACCTGGACCCCCAGCTTCCCGATCTGGCGCTCTGATCCCAGCCCCAGGTTGGGGCATGCAGCGTGGGAAGGGCAGAAGCCATGTGTGGGAGGGACCCCCTCCAGTGAGCTCCCATGGGCGACACAGGCCTGGCAGTTTCCCTCAAGCCTGAGCATGGCTTAGTCTTCTGGGCAGCAGAAGGAGGAATCTGCTGAGTAGGACACACATCGGTGTTCTGCATCCCCTCTGATCGGAGATGCCCTTTATCTCTTTGAAATGATCAGATTAAATGGGTGCGGGGCCAAAGTGAGGCCGTATTTTCCGGTGAGGATGGGCTTCCCAGAATCCTCCGGCAACGCAAACCTGAAACTCTGCATCAGACTCACAAACATCAGGAACAGCTCCATTTTTGCCAGTTGCTCTCCCATGCACACCCGCTTCCCTGAAAACGAGATCAGAACAAGCAAAATTACAGTATCATCCTGCCCGCATCCCAGGAAGGCCAAGCGGCGTCAACCAGCGAGATGGAATGTTGCCAATACAGATAAAGCTTTAAAGACAGCAGCCCCCACGGTCCCCACGATATATGCTGGGGAGACTTTCTGCACACCTTGCTCACTCGTGGACTCGTGAACGTCCACCTCGCCCTCAACAGCAGCAGGAGACGAGTTCCCCATCTGGCCCTTGCCTCGCTCTTCCCTTGCAGGTCGGGGGCAGGGGGATGAGACCAACGAGAATCTCTGGAGCAGCCCGTTTCTACCTCCCATCCCGAGTCTCGGAGTGAGAAGGGGAGAGCTATGAGGTCGGAGACCCTTTCGCCCACGACAAAGGAGACGTCACAGGTCACCCGCCACCACTGCCGTTCCCTGCACGGCTTGGGAAGAAAGGGCTGGGCTGGCACTGAAAGGCGCCCGAGAGTCGCTTTTATTTGCTTTTACCATCTGCATGAACCAAGCGGAGATGCACTATAGAAGCTGTATCTCCTCTTAGCGTGCCAAGATAAAGATCCTTTTTAAATCATGAAGTAATAATACTTTCAGTCCTCCTGTCTTAAATTATGTCATTTACAAAAAAAATTAAAGTTTCACTGACCGATCCCGAAAGGAATAAAGGTTTCTTTTTTAATAAGTTGTCCTTGATCATCCAGAAAGTGATTCGGATCAAAGTCATTGGGCTTCTCCCAGACAGCTGGGTCTCTGTGTACTGACCACAAGTTGGGTAAGATCACTGTGCCCTTAGGAATCCTGTACCCCTGGAGCACTGCCATAAACAAAAGAACACGGTCATTCAACACACTTTTACTAAAAGGAGTCCCTAAATCACAAGCTAGAAAACAAACATCTACTTAGACACCTAGCATCTGAATTTGTTGAGTCTCAGTGGTGAGGTATTTGTGGCAGGGAGAGAATCTGATCCCCTGGGTCTCATTCACATCATGTCCTGCCTGAGACAGGGCACGGGAGCTGTGCTATGGACAGCGAGCTAGTGAAAGCCACAAAAACAGGACAGTTAAGGCAAAGCCCCAAAACAGCCATCATGGGGCATGCTGGGAGGACTGTCCCACGAGTCACAGATTGCTAGTCCTTGCATAATGCTTTCCAGCTTGGTCTTTTATGCCCACGCGACAATATGGCGAGGGAGGTAAACCAAGGTACAGGAGTGTACAGGGAAACCGACTCTGGTGCCTCCCTGTGCACGCGACTGCGCCCTGAGCAATGCAGACAAGCTCCCGGCACATCTCACATGCGCCTCGGACACCCCGCAGGGGCGGGCACGGTAGGTGAGCTCAGCCGCCGGCAGCTGGCTCTGTCTTATGACCGGATGTGGGCCAGTTACAGCACCGGCTGCCTCCCAGGGAGGCCATCCTTGTAAGGAGGGATGTCCACGAGAGTTGGTGGCTCTTCCACAGACCTGACCAAATGCACAAAGGCACCGCAGGTGAGGGGTTCAACCTGTGCCCTTCTAATGCTCTCACACTGAGGTTTCGCTACACAACTGCCAACAGGGAGGTGGGAGGTCCCCAATTAAAGTCCTCAATTCCATATTTAGACTCGCTCTTCTGACCTCCATGGGAGGGGGCTCTGAAGGTCTGGAGTTTTTCCTGCCACGAAGGCCTCCCAGCGAGAAGTGGACACCCAGGAGGTAAGGTCCCCACATTCAGTTACCTGCAGCGTGCCGCCGAGCCAGCAGGAGGAGCAACTAGCGGCAGTCCCTACAGTCCGCCCCCCCCACCATGCCCCCAGCCTCGGGCTTCACGTGCCCAGGGAAGGCCGGACTTGCCTGTCTCCTCTGAGGTCATGTGGGGGATGGCGAGTGGGACCACCACCGTCAGCCGCTGAACCTCCATGATGGTGGCCTCCGTGTAGGGCATCTGGGCCTTGTCCGTGAGGGAAGGGGCGCGGTCAGGACCGATGACCCTTTCAATTTCCTCATGAACCTTTGCTGTACAAATAAAGGGAAATGCTATCCAGAAGCTGCCTCAGGAGGGTGGAGGCTGCCCTGGGATGCACACTTGCAGCTCAGCTCCTCCAGAGAGCCCCAGAGCACCCTACAGCTTTGGAAGAGGCCAACAGCACAGAGGTGGAGAAAGCACCTCGGACACTGTGGGCAGGAATGTGCACTGGCCCAGATCTGCGGAAAACAGCTTGCAGGTTTCTTGAAGCTGGGTTTACCAGATGACCTGGCACCTCCACCCTTGCTGTGTCTACCTGAAGAACACAAACACACAAATTTGGGGGACAATTGCCTTCCTGTGTTCACTGCCTATTTACAATGTCCAATTATGGGAAAAGCCAAAGTACCCAAAGAGAGAGGAGTAGATTTAAAAAAATGTGGTAGACACAAGTACACGCACACACTCACACAATGGAATACTACTCAGCAATGAAAAAGGACGAACTCCTACCATTTGTGGCCACATGGAAAGAAGTGGAAAGAGAAACGCTAAATAGGGGTGGTATCACTCATCTGTGGATACAGAGGAACACAACAAATGGTGAGTTCAAACCAAACCAATACAAACTCTTAACACCAGGCTGCAAAAGTGAGGGGGGAGGGAGAGCCCGATGGAACATGGTGGAGGTGCTGGTGGTAGGGGCTGAGTCAAAGTACACATTGTGGATGTCTGAACCTACAACCCTCAGGACAGACACAAAGGCATCAACCTATCTTATTTCAGTCCACAGAATCTGGGAAAGATAGACTACAAAATGAAGCCATAAAAAGATGGCCTCTGCCGCCAGGGGCAGCTGCACCATCCCCGATGGCCACCAGGCTGGCCCTGCCAACACAGCCCCCACTGGGCCTGCCTCTGGGTGCACATCCCGGTCCCCGCCCACCCAGTGGTCTCTGCCCAGCAGACCCGGCTAGGTGACAGCCCGTTAGTTCTGAGCGGGGTCTAGAAGACGGGGCCTCCGTGTTGACCGCCTGCTGTCTCCGGGGTCACCGGCTTTGTGGGGAGGCAGCCACCTTGGAGGCAACTGGACAGGTCCCTGTGGCCAGGCCGCAGCCTGACCCGAGACGCACCGTCCTGCAGGTGGCTCCTTCGTGCAAGTCAAGGCTGCGGATGAGCAGCCCAGCTGACTGGTGACAACCTGGCAGGGACCCTCGGCCAGACCTCAGAAGCCCGGCCTGGCCGCTGGGCCCCTTGGCCACGAGGCGGGGGAGCGGAGTGCAGCTGAGCTGCCAGCTGCCAGCACAGTCTGCCACAACAGCAACAGGCTGGGCAAGGAGGTGGCACCGGCAGAATGGTCCTGTGGACCTGCTGGGAGATTATCCTGGGCATCTGGGGCGTCCGCCTCAGGACGAGATTTCGATTGAGGCCTTTTCCCGGTTGAGTTTACAATCGAAGGGAGCTGTGACTGGGAGAGTGACAGAGGCAGCGGCCCTGGCTCGGGGCTGGGGGTGCTCAGAAAGGAACCCTTCCTGCCAACATCCTGATGCTAGAGCCGCCATGGCTGCCAGTGCAAAGGGCTCTCTGCACCACACATCTCTCCATGTGGGGGAAGGAGCCACATGACCTCCAGGCGTCTATGCTGTTTTCTTTTCCTTTGTTTCCCTTTCTTTCTCCCTGCCCCCTCTCTTGTCTTATCTTCTGAACAAGGTGAACAGGCTCAGAGCATCACCATGCCCCTAGTGCTTGTGGCATCCCAGACTCCACATGGAACCAGACCTGGGTGTGGGGCAAGCAAGTCACGTCTCTGCCCCCGTCTGGAAACCTGCAGCCCCTCGGCAGCACAGAACTTCCAGTCCGAGGACTCCACCACTTGGCATTCAAACCAAGGGCCCCCCCGGGGTGCCGACCCTGCACTCAGCAACCCGGTCGGCCACAAGCTCAGGAAATGGCCCCCACTGACCTTGCACGTCGGGGTTCAGCGCCATGTACAGCAGGCACCAGAGCAGTGAGTTGGTGGTGGTGTCGGTGCCGGCGAAGAAGAGGTCCCCGATGATGTAAAAGAGGTAGTCTTCGTCGAAGCTGCTGCCGTGGTCGCTCCTGCGCTCCCGCTCCACCTGGGCCAGGTACATGTCTATGAAGTCCCGCGGGTTCTCGGCGTCCAGGGACTCGCGGTGGTCGCTGATGATTTTCTTCAGGAAGACGGTGATGTCCCTCTCGATTTGGCGCAACTCCCGGAACAGCCCGAAGGGCAGGTAGTAGAGCCAGGGGCACACGTTGACCAGCAGGAGCTGGCTGTTGAGGCAGATTTCCAGCGACCGCGACATGAGACCCAGCATCCGCTGAAACTCGCAGTTACTGGAATCGAAGCGCTGGCCGAAGCACAGAGAGCAGATGACGTTGGACACGGCGCTGTTGATGACGGAGAAGGGGCTGAAGGGGCTGTTCTCGTGCCTCTGCATCTCCTCTTTCACATATCTGAACTCCTCGATGATTCTGGGCTCCAAGCTCAGCTTCCCCAAGCCAAAGTGGCGAAGAGTCGAGTGGGAGAACTTCCTCTGCTGTCTCCACACGGGGCCGTACCGTGCAAACACAATCCCTGCAGAAGGGCAGCGGGGAGAGGTCAGGGAGGCCGGCCGGAGACACTACTCAAGGCCACCGGGGGGTGCGATTCAGCGCCCCCCCACCCCTGTGCGAAGTGTGCATCGAGATCAACACCCAGAACAACCCAGAGCAGAACGTAGTTGCCAAGACACCGCAGGCTGCTGATAGCAAAAACCAGGTCCGGTGGGTCACCAGAATGTGCTACAGTTTGACACGAGAGACGCCCGCGCCTGGGGAAGTGGAAGGCAATGGGCAGCAGTTCCTAGAGTTACTATAAATTTCAGACTTATTTTCACAGGCATGAGTGCAGGCTTAGAACATATTTCAGGCTGGTCATGATCCTGCTCGAAGCTCTTGGGCTTTTTAAAACAACGTTACTGGATTTACTTCCTAGTGTATGAGGTATTTTTTTTAAATATAGTTCATTTGTACATCATTTTGTACCTTTTTCCATCTCAGTTGCAATCCTCGTGGGCTTCCCATCACCAAATCACCCGTGTGCCATCACCACAGTCCAGTGCACGTCCCTCCCCCCACCGTTTTTGATCCCATTCCCCACTCTACCCTCGTAAGATGCCTCTGGTTTATAATTGTTCAATATTTTTATTCCTCCCTCACCCCCCCGGTCCCTTATGCTCCTGCTATGAGTGAAGCCATCTGGTATTTTCCCTTTCTTTCTGGCTTATTTCACTAAGCATGATCCCTTCCAGCTCCATCCATGTTGCTGCAAAAGGCATGAGTTTCTTTTTGATTGCTGAGTAATATTCCACTGTGTATCTGGACCACATCTTTTTAATCCAGTCATCTACTCTTGGGCATTTGGGTTGATTCCATGTCTTTCTGATTGTAAATAAAGCAACAATAAACATGGGGGTGCTATTGGGTATTTTTAAGTCATATCTGGAAATGAAAATGGCCTTTTAAGTTCCCTTTCCCTTAAAGTACTTGTCTGGCTATACAGGTGTCCTAAATGAACAAGGGTGTATTCTTCCTCCCTGAAAAATGTCAAAAATAATAATGACACATCCCTCTCCTTTTCCTTTCAGTTTTTCCTTGAATTCCCTCTAATCCATTACTATTCAGTCAAGTGTCTTGGGTACCACTTCCACTGCCATCCACATGTGTTCTCATTCCAGTGTTAGTTTAAGTTTTAATTTTTTTATTATAATTCTCTTATGTCTCCTAGGTTAATGTGTCATATATTGATTTTGTATGTTTGCGTATGTAGAAGAACTGGGATGTAAGCCAGAACAGGCAGATTTACTGAAACACACTGCTGAGGGGAGCAGCGGGTGAGACAGGAGGTCTGCTGCGCCATGTGGGTCAGCTCCCTGGCCCGGGATCGAACTCAGGCCACACCAGTCACAGCACAGAGACCTCACCCCTGGGCTACCAGGGAGGCCTCTATCATGTAGTGATTTTTGACATGGAAGAGGCCTGTATTTCAGCCTCACATGAGACTGATTTTAATAAGTTCCCAAATACACGTGAAAAAGATTTTTATCCAGGCAACTAAGGGTGGCATAGTAGCCTAGAGACAGAATTTAGCAACTGTTTCCAACAAATCTTGCATTTTTATCAAAATTTTATCTGCCTGTTCTCTCAACTATTTAAAGGCTTGTGAGAAAATTCTTGCCGGGGCAGTGTTTGTAAACCTTATTTTTGCAATTCTGTAATTTTCTGCTACATGCAGGTACCTATCACATTCCTGCATTTCCATCTCTGTGTACCCACTAAGCTGCTGAGCAGACACATAGATATGCTGACCAAGCTGTTAGATACTTTGTACCTTAGAAGTACTGTGGTCTTCCCGGGTAAAAAAAAAAGTTTCCTTTTATTACCATGTAGTGCCTTAACAATGAAGTTTTGACTAAGAGTACAGTTTGTCCAAAAAAATAGGTTCCTGACATCATTTCTTTATTTTGAACTTTAGTGTACTCTTATGCACATTAAAAGTCTCTTTTAAAACATTAAGATTGTTGAAGTCAATTCTTTCAGTCAATGAATTTAATCTATATGAATTTGATATATTAACTTATTTCTAATATATTTATGGGTTTTCTCCCCCGTCCTTTCTTTTGCCTGATAAGAAACAGGGTGAGGACTCACTCTTCTATTTTTAACACATATTTAAAGTCTAGTCTAGGACAGCAAACCACTGCCCACAGGTCAAGCCCAGCAAGGTGCCCTTCATGTGGCTAGAAAGCAAAGAGGCATTTCTATGTTTTTATATGGTTGAAAAAAAATGAAAGAATGTTTTGTGGTATGTGAAAATCACAGGACATCCAATTTTCAGGGCCTACAAATAAAACTCAATCAGAACACAGATTGTTAAGGAGCCAGTGGAATTCGCTATTCAGATTCTATGGCGGTTTCTACAGCCAAATGGCAAGAAATTTGCAACAGAGATTGGGAGGTTAGGAGAGAACTCCCACAGGGTTGCTGCAACTGGGCATGTCAAAAATTACCCTGGGCATGTCAAAAACTACCCTCCGGCAGCAGAGCAAAACAAGCCAGCAGGCTGCGGAAGCAGAAGCAAAGCCGGAGTCAGGGCCGCAGAAAAGCAAGGCCCAGGGGCTCGCTGGGCGGCTTGCTTGGCGCCGCCTGCCCGCCTCTCCCGCCCTGAGAGGCTCTGGCTCCTTCACCACTCGGAGGGAAGAGTCCCTGCAGTCCTGCATCCTGAGCCCAGCGGGAGAGGGTCCCGGATCCTCAGACACACACCCCAATTTGGAGGCCTGAAGATGACTCAGCGGCTGAGGTTTCCAGCTACGCCACCAGCATAAATCCTCACCCCCAGTTGGGCACATCTATGGCCGGGAGCCAAGAGGCTCAGCACCGCTGCAAGGACGTGACACAGGGCGCCCCCAACACCCTTTGCATGGGGGTGTCCCTGCACTTGTCTCTGTGGCCAGAGAGGGGCGAACAGGACAGGGACAGGGTGTCCACCGACCCAGGTCCGCGGGGGTGCGGGAGCGGGTGTTTTTGCAGAGGAAGCTGGACAGTGGAAACAAAACTCCACTGCAAACCAAGTCAGGGGCCGGGCGCTGAGCAAAGCAAAGTTAGAGGTAGAAAGATATTATGACGTGTAGATCTCTAAAACACCACACTGACGGCATCATATTGTTTATGAGCCCAAAGCAAACACGCATAGTGGACACACACATGTGTACTGCTCTGTAAGCTCGGCATGTGAAATATTTTATTTTTTTAAGTCTTTCACATTTATTTTATTGATGCATACAGGAGCTGGGGTGTAGGTCAGAAGTGTGGGCGGTGAGAGGACTCACCAGAGACAGAGCGGGAAGCAGAACAGGCAGATGGACTGAAACACACTGGTGAGGGGAGCAGCAGGGAGACAGGAGAGGTCTGCTGCGCCCTGTGGGTCACTCCCTAGCCAGGGATCGATTGTGCTACAGTGGCTGCAGGCAGCTCCACAGCTTTGTGCTTAACCCTTGTACCCCAGGGAGGCCCCTGTGCCTGTAATATTTTAGATACAAGCGTGATGTGGACGGACCTTTCCACCTAAAGTGTTCCATGGGTGCCCTTGGCTAGGCCTTTCTGACTGAGTCTCTATTTTCTACTCCTGTGGAGGAAGTGGCTCACCTGAGTAAGTGAGATGGTGGACATCGCTGGTGTAGACCCATGCTATGGGCTGCATGGCTCACGGTAGTTTTATGGGTGAAAAAACAGAGACTTGCCTAAGCAGGATATTCTGAAAAACCTCAATGAATAACTTCCCACATCCTACAGCTTTTGCACTAAGTTTTCAGACAACTGCTTGCAGCTTCTGTGCTCATCACTGTTTAAGGAACATGCCCTTTCCCTGTGAGTCCTTGGCCGAAACAGTCTTTACAAATCTCTCATATGCAGAAGCCGTCTGTGTGGTGGTGGCCAGAAGCTGGACCTGCAGGGGTCATCGCCGACCAGGCTGTGACCCATATAATGTTGTGTCAGGTGGAAGAAGAAAACACTTTGCCTACAGTATGTAGTGTTACGGGCCTGCTTCTCCCTACCAGCACAGCTGGGCATTAGCCCGGCGCTTATTTTCAGATCGTCAGACTCCACATGCATGGGCCTCTGGGTGAGCGCTGGCCGTCCAGCACGACGCGCTGACCGACCGCTGGGTGAGCACCGGCTGGGGAGCCCCGGCAGCCCACCTGCGGCCACGTCACTGGAGGGCTTGCCTAAGAGCAAGGAGCCTGACCTAAGGCGTCACAAAAATTGCCCAATACGTTGGCTGGACAGTGACAATGACCCCGCTCAGGTGACACCCCTCCACGCCCCCCCGGCAGCACCAATCCCAGCCTTGCCAGATGGGACGGCCAAATCATGCGACCTTACTGTGGTCTCCCCAAGTTCTGCCCTTTGCTGATACTCCTTTTCAACCTCATCTAGCCCCTGGGGTGTTCCCCGACTTCCCCACGCCTTTTCACCTTGTTAACCCCACAGGAGAGATGGGAAGCACAGGAGAGCTGCGATGTGAGGCAGTGAGGGTGCTCCCCTCGCTGCCAGACTGGCTCCCTGCCCGCGCTTCTGCTGGGTCTCTGAGGTCACAAGCTGAACACACGAGTTGCCCCAGCCACTGAAATCTGCACCTGTCCAGAGGTGAAGGACGCTTGGGGCAGCCTTTTCTCAGGCTGGCGCTCCCGCTGAACCCCGCTCACCTGCACCAGCACCACCAGAGCAGTGAAGCACCTAGCAGGTTCTCCACCGGCCAGCATCGTGGCTTTGCGAAACACACTGACTTGACGCAGGTGTCCGCTCTCTTTTCTGCAGCATGAAAAGGCTGCGCGGGGAGAAGGGGCCCCAGGCTGACTCTAGCTTTCAGTGGCTGTGTGCAACGGTTCCCAAGGGCCGAGCCCTGGGCCTCCACCGTCCTGTGCCGACAGACACGCCGTGGTTGACACACGCCTCGCCTCCTGCAGTGGTAACAGAACTGCAGCAGCAACAGCATCTGCAGACATTGTCCAGTGCATGCCTGGGCAGGGTCGCCGACTACTGACCGGTGCAGGTTGTAAGGGCGCTGAGGGTCGCCTTCCGCTGGGCGCTGAAAGGGCCACGCGTGCACGTATTCTGATACCAGAGAAAATGACTGGGAGACTGGGGGCCGGGGGTTGTGTACAGAGGTTGTTCCTTTCTCCCCAGAGGATACTATTTCTCCGCAGAATCAATCAATCATAAGAATGTACTCACTGCTCAAGAATGATTTATCAAAGAATAAAAACATGTTAGACAAGTAAGGTCGCGTGTATCAATAGGCAGCTGGACTCTCCAGCATGAACACAGACTGCCGGCCACTGTGTGAGCTGGGACAAGCAGGGCCAAAAGGGGACGGGCAGAAGAGAAAGAGAAGGGACAGGACAGACCCTCAGGGTGACTGGGTCATCGAGAGTCCAGGATATTCTTTATTACAAAACATTGTCAACGTGAGGCCTCAAGCTATGTTGGTGCTCATAGCTCTAAATAGGCAATGACCTCTCTGGTTAACCTGCTTCCAGAAAAGCTTCAACTGATACCTTTCAGTATAAAATGCACCCATTTTGTGCCAAACACAGAGAAGAAGAAAATAGAAAGCACGCTCCTCAGAGTACAAAAGCAACCTACGTAAGCCTCACAAAAACATGCACAGGTTCGGCACGCCAGCTGAAAGGTTGAGACTACACGTCCAGAGATTTGCTCCTCCCAGCACTGCAGAGACATGTGCTATGGGCTCTATTTCCTAGGAGCTGTTGTTTTCCAGAACAGTCTGCCCATCCTGCTCTTGCATAAGTTCACAGTTGACCGTGGTACCCTTGGAAACTATTGGGGAGGGGTGGGGCCAGCCTCAAGCTTGTCTCCTTCAGGCAGATCTGAGCTCTGCTCACGGTATCCCGTCCCCTCCAGGGCATCTACAAGTAGGTTCATTCCCCTTCATTCTGCACCCTTGAAACGCTATAAAAAAATTCCTCCTCTGTCAGCTCCCCTGTTCTCTAGTCCAAGTAAGTCCACACACATTTCCATGGCTGCTTGCTCTACCATCTCGTGCCAGTCCACTTCTCCAGCAAAAGAAACTGCCCCTCCATTCTTCCACAGCAGACTAACCCACACAGCTCCACCTGAATCAGAGCCGCCTTGCCTAAAAGCCCCTGTCTTGGGGGAGAAGGGGTGCTGTGGTTCAGATACACAAGCGCAACTCAGCCTCGCTTCTAGTCTTTTCCTAAATTAACAGGCACCTGATAAACGGTGTTCGTCTCAAGCCGTGACATGGAAACCGCCTGACTCAGATTCCCGACGAAACTACCTACTCACCGAGCAGGACCTTGAAGAAGGCAAAGTAACCCCCCGCCCCCCTAAAATCCTGGCAGAAGGGCGACACGAATGCCCGCACAGCGCCGCACCAATGCTGCAGGCGGGAACCACTGCAGGCCTGATCCCCGCCTGTGCTGCCCGCTGGGGTGGCCGGCACAATGGCCCAGCCTTCGCTCCCGGGCTCACATTTCAGTGGCGGCCATCAGCTGGGCCCCACGTGCTGTGAGTAAACTCTCAATAAGGCAAATGAGGCCGAGACTCACCTAGGCCCCTGCGGCCACCCTGGCCTGGCAGGGGCCAGCTTCGTGTCCAGACCAGGTGGAAACAGGCAAGTCAGAGGGTGAGCAGAGACAGAGTGGGAAAGGCTGGCCAGAGCCTTCACCAGGAGCAAGGGAGCTGGGGGGCCCATGCTGGTTCACGCAGGGCTTTGTTGTATGGGGTGCCTTCGGCTGCTGTGAGGCTGAAAGATGGGTGCGGAGCAAAGGGGTTCCGAAGCAGCAGCTGAGAAACATGACAGCTGGGATAGAGATAGAGTACTCTGACCATGGGGGGACAGCCTGGCACGGGACTGGGGTGGAGGGGAGCATGAAACAGTGGTGCCATGGAGAAAAAGGGAGCTCCCCTCTCCTTGGGGGGACAGAAGTATGTCGGGGACACATTCTCAAGGAGAAGACACTTAAGCAGGTATGAGCAAAAATCCAGGAAGCTGCTCAGGTAGGTGAGGCTGTGCCCAGCCCTCGTGCCCGCTGCTGGCAAGCACCGCAGCTTGGAAAACGGCATGGGGGCTGTGCAGACACTTCAACAGTGGCCGCGGGCCAAGCGATGCCACTTCTGAGTTTGTCGTTAACAAAACCTGAAAGCATGGGCCTCCCTGGTGGTGCAGCGGGTTAAAGCACAGCACTATGAAGGTATGACAGCCACTGCAGCACGAGTTCGATGCTCGGCCGGGGAGCTGACCCACAGGGTGCCACAGACCTCGCCTGACCCGCCTGCTGCTCCCCTCAGCAGCGTGTTTCAGTCAGCAGCCTGTTCTGCTCCCCACTCTGTCTCTGGTGAATCCTCTCACCGCCCCTGCACCGCTGGCCTGCATGCCAGTTCTGTATCCACAAATAAATCTTCAGAAAGAAAAAAGAGAGAGAGAGAAAAGGGACGCAGGCAGCTATGAGATGGGGTCGGAGATGCAGGGAGACGCAGCAGCAACACAGCGCCACTGCGGCCGAGACCTGTGTCCAGGGGTCGCCAGCAGTCTCATGAGCTTCTAAGTCTTCAATAAAAATCCCGCTGAAGAAACGCCTGGTGCGAAGGAGACCACGCCTCTGCCCGGAAGCAGTATGCTGAGGGAGCCTCCCTGCAGTGTCGGGCAGGCTGGTGCGCCCCTCTGGACACCAGGCTGGAGTGCAAGGCCCACACTCGCGCCCCAGGCCCCCAACTATGCAGCCTCCTCTAGCTGCTGCTGGGGCCACACAGAGCTCCTGCCAGGACACTGCAGGGAGCCCACGGAGGGAGAACACGCCCTGAGGGAAAGATTTAGAAATGACCCCTGTCTGACTAAAATGTGTGGGTCCCAGGCAGCCAATAAGAAGGCGATAATAAAGCCGAACGCAAGTAATGAATAAACTAATCAAACTAATCAGCCACTGAACCAACTGAGTACCTAAGCAGGGTGACGAGCAAATACGGCATTTGTTTGCAGCAGACAACGAACTCCCCCGCCTGCAAGACCGACCCAGGGTGGGAACCCAAGGGTACAGCCCCCCACCCCGAAAAGTTTGCCACAGCTCCTAAGGTGCTTCCTAGACTTCCAGTGTAGGCGGGCAACGCCCCTCAAACTCGGAAGCTGGAAGAACAGCCCTTTCCCGACCCACCTCAGCCAAGGCTGCTCCCCCCCTCGACCCCCACCTCCCCTCCCACGCCACCCCCCACACCGTGCAGGCTGAGAGCACAGCCGGGTTCCAGGAGGAAGGGGAAGCGCCAGAAGCTCCAACCTGCTCCACACCACCCCCACTTCCCGCTTCCCAGTGGGGCCGCGGAGGCGTCGTGGCCCCTGACCGCTCGGTGCGACCTCAGAGGCGCCAGGCGGCGGCGGGGCCAGAGCCTCGAGC